CTTCCAAAAGGAGAGGGAAAGGGCCGGCACTCCCCCCCCCCCCCTTTAAATCCGCCCCTGAACACCCATTAGGGCCTACATTATATGTGTCAATCGAGTTCTGGAAAGGTTTAGTAAATGAAAATGCTTGTTGTTGAGCGCACGATTTCAGAATCTTAGAATATATTTGATTTGGGCAACATGGTTTTCTAATGTTAAGTGTGGAGAATTGTTAAAACTACTGTTTTGTCCACACTATCACTTTTTATCGAAGATAATAAATAGCAGAGATAGAGCAGCTTCCCAATATAGTGGAACATCCGTTCCAAAGGCATTGTGGGTGCACAGAGAGCAATTTTACCCCGTCCGCGCTATATAGAAATAATAAACAGCAATAAAAGGCGCCGCTCTGGTTCGTTTGTTTCCTGTATTTCTCCACTTAATAAAATGTTCAAATTTTACCCCATTCGCGGGAGGGCGGATGTTCCATCAATTTTAATACAAATGAGCAGCTCATTCTCCTATTTAAGTTCTTTGGTTTTATGTAATGTGCCCTTTTGCAGTGACGTAGCCCATCTTGGAGTTTTGAAACTGGGAGCTGATGGGTGGGGGCGAAGGTGAAGTGGGGGGGAGGAGGCTCAATGGCCAGTTGATGGGCGCTAATTAGCAAAAATTGATAGTGAACAGCTTTTAAGCAGTTGTTTCAAACACAACAATCGAAATACAAAATATTGGATATTTGCAAATTTATTCCTCACAACAATATAGTGTTCACGTAGGGCCTTACTGTATACAAATACCATACTATTATTTTATCCATAAGGCATATACAATTTCATACAGGATATACAAGATACAAGTTCATGCATATGAAAATACATTTTCAAGCATATGCAAATAAAAAATTTCATGCATAATACAAATTCAATGTTATATTGACATGTAAATAACAAAACTCATTCAATATGTTAGGGTACACTGCCTAGGATGTCTACCTGACCCTATTAAGGCAGTGAAACAGAAACTCCTAATAGTGCTTTTTACAGCTAGGCTTTTTGTGATTGGTCAAATCCTGGTCTGGGTTCAAAATCATTGATGTATGGCTGTTTTAACTCACTGGCATATGCTAATCAGGAGTATATTGGTGGATTATTGTACGCCAAGTATTGTGAACAAGTATACACACACCACTGGATTAACGTTACGAATGGTACCGTAGCTTGTGTCTGAACATAACCTGAAATGTTTTTTTTTTTAGTTCTAAAAGCATCAGGCCTAAGATCAAGAAGCTACTAATCATGTTTACTTTTTATAAATATAATACAAACTCAGATATTTATTTTTAAAATTCTATAACCATTGGGATAACGTACTGATAATGACTGTGATAAACATATCTGCTATATGATCTTGTGTAAGAGAAAAGATAAATGAGGACACACAACACAATACATTTTATACACGGGCATATGTATATTCTAAAAAGGAAACCCGCACACTGTAAATATCCATGTAACAGACAATGCACTGACATACTTGTTTTAGAAAAGCATGCAGATGAAAAATGATGCATATAATATATTTAGTTACATAAGAGTAATAGTGATAGGAAACAATAGGAGAGTCGTAGATGGGGGAAGTGGCATTGCAGTTGCTTGTAACTAGTACTAACATCAACAGTGTTATAATGCCACGTAGCTGGGAAAACACCTAGTGAATTGAAACCATGTGCAAACAATATTATCGAATGATTCACTAGAAGGATCTCATTGTTAGGCCTAAAAAAATTAATTTGTTTGCCCTTTAATGCTGATAATTGTATAGGAGGAGCGGGCGCAAAAAAGTCTTTTTTTTTTAAAGTTTTTTTTATCCTGTCAACAAAATTAACACATTAATTGCAATGATGCTTGCAATTAAGCCTGTCTGAATATATGCTTTTCAAAGGGTATTCATCAGACTGAATAAAAATAAACCATAATCGATATTTTGCAATGAATTTAGGATTAGAATAGCGATATCGTACATCAGAAACAAAATTTAGACAACTTTCATGTGCAAAATGGAGAAAAATAAAGATTTGCAAACAAAAAATCGAAAAAAAAAACACCTTTTTTTAAAAACGCTGCCCTTTTTTTCTGTGAACTAGGGGTGAGTGCTGTAGGGCAAACAAACAATTTTTTTTAGGCCTTATAATAGTGATGTCACTAAAAATTTAAATATCCTGAAATTTGCTTTTGTTGCATATATCCTAGGCCTATGCATTAAAGCTCTTCGTTGCTGCTGCAACTCAATTGAGATATACAGGCCATTTCAGAACATCTAGTTATTCATATACATATCCAATAATTAATACAATGTTCTAAATTCAACCTGAATGTGCTCCAAACATTCGCTGAATGGGCGAATCCAGGACTTTTCATCCAAGTGGGATGTGAAATGTTGCAGATGGTAAATACAACAACTGCTGTTGGATTTTTAATATAAGATAAACAATATCTCACTTATAGATAGATAGATAATACAGTATATATTTTGGAACAATCGGTGATAAATACAAAAATATGAAACTATTCACAAACTATTAGCGGTAATGCATGTACACTTAATGCTGAAATTGCATCCATAAATCCCTAACAAAATACATTAATGTACTTATTCCAAATATGGATTTGGTTCTTGGTGACATGCATATGCAAATTCTTATTAATTATAAGTGTGATTGGATAACTATGAGTATATACATATAAATGGAATAATAGTATAATTACATTCTAGATAAGGTGGAACTTTTATATAATTGTTTAGCAAACCCGCTGCCTGCCAATAGAGATGATTTCAAAATAAAAATAAAATTTTACGTTTGGACAATTAGCACACCAACTGCCATGATAAAAATGGAAATTTCAGAAGTTTTTAAACATTTTTATTATTCCCACCGGTGCTTTGAAATCTCCAAAAATTAGATATGTATATTTCTCCCCAATTATATAAATTTTAAAGCATTTAACTCTCCCATTACTACACTGTTTACATTCACCAATAAAATTATATTTTTATTTTCTCCTCCATCTCGATGTTTTTTTGGCAAAACTATTTGCAAAATAAGAAAATGCAATTTTATTTTGATTTTTTTTCCACCCTCCTCTGACAATCTTTAAAAAGAATAAGTTGGCAAACCAAGGTATAAAAAAGTCTCACCTAAGGAAATTCACAATAAAATGTCTAAAAACATGAAATTGTGGGAACTGAATGATTCAATTCAAGTAAATTACGTTTACAAAAATCAATGCAATTATTTGATAATACAGAGTATAAACCACTCTGTCTAGATTATCAAATTCTATTTTGTTGCTCTACTTTGTCATAATGTGCCTATATATGGTAAAGATGTGATGGCACCATGACCATATTTGGGCATGTCACACTTTTTGATAACGCAGAGTAACCAAGTATAATACAAAACCAAGAAAGATTATTTACCTAAGTACATTATTCAGTTCATAAATAATATCAAATTGATGGTAAAAATATAGAACTAGTCTAAAATTATAACATAATGTATATTGTGGTAGATTAAAATTAAATGAAATAATTATATAGTATAAACAAAATTCTGATTTACTGAAAACCTATCACATAGCTTTTTGAGGATTAAAATACCTAAAGCATGTTTTTTACCATTTGAATCTGATTGCCAAAGGTGATGTGATGTTTATATATCCCGTACTGCAAAATATTTATCACAAATTTTGTTGTTGCAGATGTTAGCATGCAACTGTAAATTCTTCAGTGATATCAAACATGCCATGTAGAAAAACTCCAACCTTCTACTTAACGTCCTATAAATGTTTCGCAGAACAAGCCAGTGAAATCCATGGGGCAACTACATGTGTAGGAGGAGCTGCCTACATTCTGACAGGTGGCGCCATTCATACACTGGTTATTTGCACAACCAAGAGGAACTAGAAAACAATAAAGAGATATTTGTATAATAAAGATACTTTACATTGTCAAATTTGTTGCATTGAAGGCAATTCACCTGCAATGGTTCTCTCCACGCAAGCTTCATAATTAGTAAGGCGAGACCTTTTTTACACATTGTTTTGCAAACTTATTTTTTTAAAGATCGTCAGGGGAGAAAATATAAATAAAATGTTATTGTTTAACAAAAAGAGTGTAGTAATGGGATGGTTAAATGCTTAAGAAATATAATGTCTTATTTTTCAAGATTTCAAGGCAGCGGCAAGTGTAATAAAAATAAGGACAAGTTTTATTTTTTTCTGAAATTTCCAATTTTTTCTTGCTAATTGGCTAAAAATGAAATTTTTATTTATTCAAAATCATCAATTTTGGTGGGCAGTGTTTTTGCGAAACAAGGTATAAAAGTCTCGACTAATAGCTGAAGTAGTATATGTACAGTACATGTATTTGAACATGAATGGAATACCTCACAAAGAAAACGATCACCAATGACTCAAGTAAACAAAGAACTTTACAAGAACCTTGCTTCATTCGCTGAAAATTTTACATGTACCGTAAAACCTTGAATTGAATCCCTGGTTTTTTGCGAAATTTAGATGGGCTTCTTTTTGAGGCTACCTTTGCAAACTAAAGAGGGGGCTTCTTTTCAAAATGAATGCTGTAAATTTTATGAATTTAGAACTCTCCACGGTTCAGCGCACACACAGTGGCTACCACCAGATTAGCCGACTGAGCTAAGCTGCTTCTTTTCGAGGCTGCTCTTGCAAACTAAAGAGGGGGCTTAAATTCGAGATGGTCTTCATCTGGCTATTAAGCCCACTGGGCTTCAATTTGAGGTTTTACGGTATATTTCCATGTTATGATCATCACCATCACAATCCCTGTTTCCATAATCCTCATTATTATCTTTCTCATGCTCTTCAACATCATCATTTTCATCCACTTCGTCATCATCATCATCTTCTTCTTCTCATTGTTATCCTCTTCCCCCCCCTCATTACATCAACATCCCCATCATTTTTCTTCATCATCAGCATTGCCATTGTCATCCTCTTCAACATCATAATCATCATTTTCATCATCATCTTCCTCCTTCTCATCATCATTATCACATAACCATCATCATCATCTTTCTTATCTAATCATTATGATCACATCACCCTTATAATAATCATCTTTCTTATAAACATCAAGAGCACCAGTATTGCCATCCTCATCATCTTTCTCCTTCTCATCATCATCTTTACTCTCACCATCCACACCACTACCACCATCCTAATCATCATCATGTCGTACAGATAACAATTCTTTGTTCGATTTGTAATTTTAATAATTTGATCTACGGTTTTGTTTCTGATGCTTTAAATACTGAATGTAAAAACAAAATACTTTTTTTAAATTTATTTTTATTTCTTTATTCTTTATACTGGGAAAACCTGTTCAGTAGTATATCTACTGTTATCCCACAGGGCCCAGTACAAAAAGACAACAATGACATTCACAATAAATACTCAAATTTATAATAATGATTGTATTTAATGATGCTCAATATTCACATATCATAATTATGATAATGACAATATTAAATCTATACCAAAATGTATATATCATAAAAACTGACTTACTTTGACAGTTGTCACCTGTGTAGTCATCCGAACATCGACATGAGTACATATTACCACTGCTTGGCATGTTGGAGCAAAGACCACCATTCAGACAAGGGTTAGGTGTGCAAAAGGAATCTCCTTTAAGAATACAAGAAAAAAGAAATCAAAGTGTTATCTGATTCTGTAGCCTGGGTTACGGCCCTAATTTTGGGTTACTCAATCTTAGTGCGCACCATACCACATTTAATTGGCGTTCCATACATGATTTATTTTTTTCCAGATTTTTTTGTCTTATTCCATCTCAAAAATAACTTTTCGTTGGTGACTGGTTGTGTAGCCTTTGTTACGGCCCTAATTTTGGGTTACTCAATCTTAGTGCGCACCATACAACATTTAATTGGCGTTCCATACATGATTTATTTTTTTCCAGATTTTTTTGTCTTATTCCATCTCAAAAATAACTTTTCGTTGGTGACGCTGTCCAGACTGAGATCAAAATACTGTTGTAACAGGGGACTAGTGGCAAGTCTACTGGTTTTGAAGCAAGGCAACACAAAACAGTCAGAAAGTTAAAAACACCAAGAACACAATAATTATTTATAAAATACGCTGTTGATGTGTCATTGATACAACGAAATATTCAACACTATTCTTGTGGATTGGTACATTCACTCTTTAGGTCATTTAATACATATTCTCTTTCATTTAATCACAGATGGTATATCTTTGAATAAACAAGTGGTGGCACCAGCTCTCTTCCTGAGGGTGGGGCTGTGACCTTACCTTCCCCTTACCCCTACTGGCGCCACTACTGGAGTAAACCTTTTTTAAAAATAAAATGCATACATACTGTCTTCACAATTAACACCACTGTAGCCCGATTGACAGGAACAACTATAGCCCAAAGATGATGTCGCGACACAAGTTGCGTTATTCATGCAGGGGTTACTGTTACAAGCATTCACTAGCAAAAAATGACACAAAAGAAAATGAGCCAACACAATTGTAGCATAAGAATGAGAATAAGAATAACAGTTATAACAATAATAATAACAATTTTACTAAATCTAACTTGAGGGGAATATTTTTTGTGTTATTTTCCCCTTAACGTCATGTTACTTTCACCTTAATGTCGTCTTTTTTTATTGTTCTCTAATTTCTCCATTGTCTAAAAGTTCCCCTTAAGGTAGGTTTTGGTAACATAACAATCACAATAATAAAAATGATGACAACATAAACAATAATATAATATCAATAATATGAATACATTCAAAAGAAAGAAACAGGAAAGTCATAGGAAAATCAAATTATCCCAATCTGCATGGACCAACCACAAAGCACACTAATGCCCTGCTCAGCAGTGTCTGGATACTAATGCCCTGCTCAGCAGTGTCTGGATAGTGGTATAGGATGAATATATTGTAAAGGCACAAGGCAATGAAGAAAAATCACAAAAATAGCGGTGTCAGAAGATAGTAAATGAACATAAAGCAGTCAAAATAACATAATTTTCAGGGGTGGTGACAGTGGGGAGGCCAGGGCCCCCAGTGTGGACAACAGGTTCTCCTCGAGGAGAATAATACAATTCATTGGGCAAAAAAATATTTGACTATAAAATTGATTAAAAATTAAATTACAAACCCATTAAGTTACCTTAGACCACTTCCAAGAGTTTTGAGCAATGCCCAATCACAACCATGCTCTTATAGAGGATGTTGCCTCCCACACCCCCACCACTCTCAAACCACCCCAGTTGGGCATATTCTGGTGTGATCCTTGATAATTTTTGACCTAACTAATAATTGATTTTTCCCAGATGTTAACTTGCGACTTTTTCTGGATTTCATCTTAAAATGTAGGTAGTTTGAAACTTCTAACATGTCTAAAGACTTACTGTTATCTATTTCGCAACGAACTCCAGAAAATCCTTGCATACAAGAGCAGAAAAAATTACTTCCAACAGAATCTACACATGTTGCCCCATTCAAGCATGGCTGGGTCGCACATAAGTTCACATCTGATGAGCAAGAATAAATTATACAACATGAGTAGATTTACTGTAGATATGTGGCATGGCAATATGGTAGCCTCCCATCCCGGACGGTTCTGGACTCAATATTTTATTCTGGACAACCACTAGTGAAATCCTAAAGCCTCACAATAGAGTTTGTTACAGAGCATTGAGGTATTGAATGATTAACTCCTCTCTCCACCTCCACGGCACATCAAGAGAACTGGGGCGGATTGCTGTAAGCGGGCTTTAGACGGTCTTAACACTTAGCCGACTTTAATCGTAACGTCACTACTGGTCTATGATTATAGACCATTACTATACCGCGGTTTAAGCAGTTAACCATCTTAAATTTTAAAGCGTACTCGGCTCTCATTGTCATCATGACGTTACAGGTACTAGACCTAGTCCTAGATCATCAAAGACTAAGATCGAATGATGAATATTCCGCAATCTTCTCAGCGTCTGTAAAAACTGGTGTACATTTATTTACGTTCATTTTGATAAAGATGCATGTTTTGAGCAAGTGTAACAGCTAGGGCCCTCAATTTTTTGTTACCAGGGAGTGCTTGTTTGCGTTTCAATACTCAAAGCAGTCTAAGCGATGACCGTTTTATAACACTGGTCTTAGCAGAGTGACTTTAGTCGAAGTGATAAAGCCGACTTTATTCGAGGAGTTAAGACTACCAGTTAAGACTGTTTTATTGCAATCCGCAAGCCTCCAATTGGACTAAAATTATTAATTTTGAGATAATGGCAATCACTACCTTTGTTTGTACCTCAAATATTGTGGTCAAAGTACAATTTTAAGCCATTCTAAGCCATAAAATCTCTCCAATGAAATTCACTAAGAATTTTATTCCAATACCCTGACAAAGGCTCTGGCAGCCTCTTACTCGGACCTCCTGTTGGACTTATGTCGGCAAATTTCTGGAGCCACCAATGCAGCAATTGGTCCAAGTAATTAGTCCTCCACTCTTAAATAGCAAACTATTAGCTTCAATGGATGAAAAGTTGTTAATAGTGCAAAAATATTTTAAAAAGTACCATTGCCACATGTTGATCCACTCCATCCAATTGAACAGCTGCAGGTAAAAGAACTACCATCTGGACCTTCAATGCAAGTTCCACCATTAGAGCAAGGATTTGGATCACATGGCTGCACTTCTGTAACACAAAAAGGAAATCACATTAACAATAACAAATCACAAGTCGTACTTCACCTGTAGAACAATTATGAGTATATATCTTGTTTCTAAACTTTGTACCAAATTGGTAACAAATAATTTTGTTTTATAAATTAAATAGATATTTCACCTTCTAGGCTTATTTATGATAAACAACTGCTTACTTTGTTGTAGTGTTATTTTCTTTATATGTAATAAAAATAAAAGTAAATAAAAACTACAAATTGTTTTTCTATGCAGTAATATGCAGTGAAAATGTATAAAAAATGTACCTATTTCACAAAATAAACCAGCATAACCAACTGGGCATTGGCAAGCTGCTGCGTTATCCATCTCAAAGCATGTTCCACCATTATCACACACATAGTTTTCACAGACATCAGTCATGGAACCTTTGAAGTAAAGTAAATCCTTTATCAGAAGTTTTTTTTTAGTATCTACATGTAACCATTTACCTGGTCAGTTTGACCAAAGAATTCAAGGGACGGGTTGCTATGCAACGGTTATAAACAGGTTGAATAGTGTGAACTAGTTGATTATGAGATTAAATAGTTTCATCTGGTTTTGTAACTGTATAATCCAATTATTTTTAAATAGTAACCAATATTTGATGTTAGTTGATTATAGTCAGCATTATCACAATAATAATAATAATAATAATAATAATAATAATAATAATAAAAATAATAATAATAATAATAATAAACAAACATTAAGCCTGTTTTCTACTAGCTGAATTGAAACCGTTGATTAGCTTCCTGAGCTCTGATTTGGATGATCATTTTTTTAGCTTTGCAAAAAATAGAAACAGTTCGAACTACCGATTTTGCTGAAGCAAAAAACTCCGATAGAAATGTGAATGGACATGCGCTTGAACCAACGCTTTCAGTTCGCGCGAATAAATTAAGCCAAAGGAAAACAGGCTTTAGTCATGCACCAATTAAAAAAATATAAAAAATAGGCACGAAAGTATACATAGAGCATGAATTGAATAAAGCAGTAGTAGAAGATTGAATAAAAACGTAAAAAACATGATATGGACGTGAGAACAGAGTAGGCAAACACCGTCTTACAACAGTCACCCCTGAAATGCAGTTGCTATAAGACATTCCTTTTTGCAAAATGACAACTTACCCGTTATGTTTTCACAGTTACTGCCAGTTCTACCTGCCACGCAGCTACACACGTAACCAACCTCATTATTGGTTTCAGTGCAGGTTGATCCGTGAAGGCATGGCCTTCCAACGCACCCAACTATACACAGACAAATAACTATCATTATTATTTGAGCTCATCATCAAATATTTTTTCTTAAAGTATTCACTAAAAAAAAGCCACTACAGTAAGGGATACATCAGAAAAATTCAGGAGCAGTTAATTAATACTCTTAATTTATTCTTTACATCCATAAAGGATGTAAGCAAAGAAAGAGTAAAATGTTCCTGAATTTGCATGCACATAATGCCCGGCGCCACTGCGTCGTACGACTGTCCATCGGCCTACAAATCCAACTCAGCTCCCAGCGAAAGATGATGCAATGCTGTCTGCTCATGTCGGTGGCAGTCAGAATGGATCGTCATTAAAATGATCTGCTGCACGCGTGATTCTCCATAGAATCCCGTCTTCCAGCAACCATCGGGTGCAGGAAGTGCCTGACTATCGAAACAAAATTCACAGTGTGCTACAAGTCTGCGAGCGCTCCACCAATATTTCGAATAGAGTTGGAAAATTTAAACAGGTGTTTTTTAGATACAGCACATGTTCAATAAAAAACAAAACAACTTTCATTTTATCATATTGTGGATTATCATGTAGTGGATTAGGATTGCATTCCACAGAAACTCTTTACAATCCATACTCTTAGATGTAAGATCAAAGATCATATGATTGGGAAAACACTTAAAAGGGAATGAGTTACAAAGAACAGGAAACCATTTTGCATAGCCTTCCCAGGTTGTATTTGTGAGAGAAAGAACTAAGTTAGATGGATTGGGTATCTAAATTAAATCACATACCTGCAAGTGCCTCATCAATAACTTCCATCGCAACACCTTCTGCCACTCTTTGATTATCGGACATAAATGTTATCCAGATCACATTCCCGTCAGAGATAAAGTTCTCTGGAATCTCAGCTCCAGATGCATGGATAACCCTGGTAGAATCATTGACGGGGTTGTTGCCATCTCCAGCACTTAGGAAGTCATAGTTGCGCTCTGTGTTAAATGTCAAGAACATGAGGCGCATCTGTACTCCCTCAGGGGCATCGATGACCCATTTACAGAATACGTTGTTTGGGTATTCACTGCCATATCCTGGTGTGTAGAGGTTGATTGTTCCTCCAGCCATGAGATTATAATTTGCACTACAACTACTATCACCTATTTAAAAAACATGGAATCACCCAAATGAATAAAAGGGCTTTTGCCCATTACTTCAGATCTTAAGAATAATTTCTTCAGTTTGTCATATCTAATTTATATCTCTGCTAGTATTAAAAAAAAAAAGAAAAAAAAACCAATCAGTTGGAAGTTGGGATGCGATTAAAGTTGTTTTGGGGTGTAAACAAAATTCTATAATGATGTGGAAGTCACTGATTGCACTTCGCACAAAATCGTACATTCCGATTTTTCTGCCTCGTAGCGCAGAAATCGTAAGCTTTGATTCACTTTATGGGCATCCAAGGGTAAATTAGTCTGAAGAAAGTGACTGTAGCAGCTGAAACTGTTGCCAAGGTAAGCAACTGACTGGTTCAACAAAAAAGATAATTTTCCTATCATTCAACTCCCCTGCTTTTCATCTCTCTGTACCTCACCAATAGGACTAAGGAGGTTGGACCTATGTACTTTGTGAAAAGAAGACCAATTCTTATTGTTGTTATTTGTGTTTGTACCATGGATCCTACAGAACTTTCTTCATATTAGTAAAAGACACCAATGCAATAAGACAAATAATATAACATGTCAAATACAAACAATTCAAAATTTGATTACAACACAACATAAAATACATACACCAGTGCTTCTCAGTCGTCAAATTATATATAATGATATATAAGAGTATTATAACACAATTGATTTACAAATGATATACAACACAAAGAAAGAAATTCCACTCTACTTTTGTTGTGAACAGCCATAGCATAATGAGGTGCTCAGGACTTTTAAGGGGGTCCTGTGGCATCTGGCTTTTTCATATATTCAAATGAATATTCCAATACACCAAAAATGTAGACATTTAACTTATTAGATCAGGGAGTTGTTATATTAGATTAATACCTGAACAGAAATGGAATTTTGCTACCCAATGATATGCATATGCAAGACTTTTTAATAAAAAAAAAAATCAATCATGATAACTGTTAGAAGGCTGCCATCTAATACAGTAGAACTGCTATTAAAGGGACACTTCTGAAACCAAAAAAAGTGTCCCCTTAATAGGGGTTGACCGTATTGTTAAGATATATTTTAAATCAAAATGTGTCTCCTATTGTTGTCCCCTTAAATAGAGGTATCCCAAAGAGGGGATCCCACTGTATTTTAAGTTTTTGATATTTGCATTTAGAATAAGTGGAGTGAAACTTCTTCATGTATTTGGTGCAAATAACAAGAACATTTCACCTGTTAATTCACAGTGTACTCCCGTGTAGCCAGCAGCGCAAGAGCATTGATAAAACCCAATGTTATCAATGCATGTTGCACCATTTTGACACGGATTGCTGGAACATTCCGAAAAATCTAAGGTGCAAAACATGAAACAGCAATATCTCAACATTTAAAGCCCTGTTCAGACTATCAATTTTATTTGACATCATGACCATATATAGGCACATCATGACCATATATAGGCACATCATGACCATATATAGGCACATCATGACCATATATGGGCACAGCATGACCATATATAGGCACATCATGACCATAAATCAGCACATCATGACCATATATAGGCACATCATGACTATATATGGGAATACAACAGTTTTTTTGTCAAAGAAAATTTGATAGTGTGGAAAGAGCTTTAAACAATGTGATAATGTTTAGGATGAAGTGAAGTGATAAAGATTAGAAAAGCTTGATTGACATACGCATTGTCCCTTTTATGACAAAGCAGTGAATATTAATATTTTATAGTAATTTTGACAAAGTGATGAAAGAATTTTATGGAAAGATTGTTGAATTACCAATCATTGATAGATTAGAGATTATAGATTTACATTCATTACTCAATGCATTAGGACTAACAAACTTCAAAATAAACTAGAATTTTGTTATATGAATTAATATTTTAATACTTACTACATTGTCATAAAAGGGATTATGCACCATAAATGACCAAACAGGTATCACAGAGCTTAAAATATTTTAGGAAGCTGTAAGCACTGATCTCTACTATAACAGCTCAATTGCTCATTGGCCAATCCTTGTACAGATAAAAGTGAGGCCTCGATGCCATGTCGGAGGGTCTACGTGACCTACCAGTTTAGACAACTTACTTTTGGCATTTGTTTAAATTATTGCTAAAAATAACAATTCTTGAAATAAAATTTTAATTTAACGTAAGAATTAAAAAAAAAATCTTCTAACCACTCAACGCGACCCTTTATGCAGTTTATGAAAGTGCGAGCGAAGTTGTTATAGTGATGTTGAACACTAACAATGCAAATAACTTCGCTTGCACTTTTTTAAACTGCATAAACAGTCACGTCAAGTAGTTAGATGATTTGAAAAATAATCATTACGTTAAACTTAAATTTATTATTAAAAAGTTTTGCAAGAATCATTATTTTTAACAATAATTTAAACAAATGCCAAAAGAAACTTGTCTCTTAGGCCCTCCAACATGGTGTTGTTGGCCTCACTGAAACCAGCCAATGAGCAATCCAGCTATTATAATAGACATCAGTGGCTGCAAGCCAGGGACAAACTACACCAAAGGGTCATTGGCTGATGTAATGAAGGAGAGAACGCAAAATGCAGGGCATGGATAATATTTAAATGACAATCTGTTCAAGCTGACATTAGTAATCAGTGGGCGGAGGTCGTCAAACGCTCACAAGGAGATTCGTTGACCGACAGCGCTCAATCGAGTGAGGCCCTCATTTGATCAATGATGGTAAACAGTCAATCAATTTCAATCAATCAAGTGATTTTCAATAATATTAGACAACTGTCTTCATACTGTATATCTATATTTTGAAGTTAGATTGAAAACATGAAAATAATAAACATGGATATAAAAGGTGAGACTACATGAAAATACAGTACATTTGAATAACAATATAAACTTGGTTTCCATAGAATCGCTACACAGTCGCTACAATATTTCATTGCAATCGTTTCACTGCGTGATTGTCCCCGACGCAATCGGGAACACTCCATGATTCAACCAACCAATCACCGTTGCCAAAAGAGTTGGTGATAGTGTGCAGCGATTTTTACGGAAACCATGCTATACATATCACAGGGGAACACACAGTATCACATATACATATTACAGGTGAAATATAGAGCTTGTGAAATAATACAAGAACTAAAATAATGCTAAAAGATTTACCTATAATTTGATTCTTTACTGTTTTTACTTTGATATTAATTGTAAAATGAACAGTCAACCTTTTTTTGGTAAAGCATCTAATTCTATTTCTGAGAGATGTTTATTCTCTTTACTTTTATCCAACTGCCATAATAAATAAATATAAATCTTTAACAGTTCATTTACTTTGAAATTTGAACTTATATGACTGTATGATGACATCAAGAGCACATTATATTAGTCAATAAAATTTCGTTATTATTTTTTCCTCCTCTTAGAGGTTTTAGATACCACCATTTTGCTAAATAAGAAAATAAAATTGATTGGAAATAAAGTTTGATAAACATAATCTGAATCTTTTCTAACCTTTCATTTTTTAATTTTAAACTTTTATATAAAAGGAAGTATTGTGCTACACTGTGATTGCAACTTAACATAATTCAGTATATAATTTAGTACTTGCTTAGTTGCAATAACCATTTCTAATATTTTAATATATTTTGTTATATTTTCTATAGTACTTTATAATATCAGTACTTTTTTATATTAAAAAATAGCATATCGGAATAAATAATAACCCAGTGCACTATCACAGGCCAAGTTGGTACACTCTATTAGGTTAGGTTAGGGTATTTTTTTAAAATATTACATACAAGACAAGACACCACATTAAAGACTCACTAATGTCACAAAATGGGCCGGTCCAGCCATTTTCACATACACACGAATATGAATCGCCTCTACCAGCAATACAAGTTGCGCCGTTCATGCAAATGTTGTTAATACATTCATTGATCGGTTCTGCATAATATAGATAACCATGGATGATGATGATGATAGTGTTGGATGAATTTTATACTAAAGTCAGTTTTTAAGTCAAACGTGACATCATTTTTCTATTCCCAACCAAGCACTAATTTTTCATTAGTGCATGTTATTACTTTCAGTTAAAACAATGAATCAGAAAAAAATACTTCTCCCCATCATTAGCAGACAGTTTTAATACCATATTCCTATATTCTTCTGCATTGATTCTGCCTGGTAATCAATTTAAGATTTTTTGTAGTAAAATGTCTTTAAATCAATTTGTACTTAATTGAATATTTTAAGGTTTTCCCAAATTTGTTTTGGTGGACAATGCATCTATTCGAGATATACTAAAACAAAACACTTTTTATGAAAAACTAATGATAAAAAAATTCTTAAATTGTTTATATTACATATTCATACTGTTGCTTGGGATTACCTGTATCGCAGTAAATGCCTGAGTAGCCAGGTACACAAGTGCATACAAATCCATTGGTGAAAGGTTGGCAGGTTCCCCCATTCAGGCATGGAGAGTCAGCACATGTAATAGGTCCTATAACAGCTATAAAAACAAAGGGAAACGTTACAAAATAGTTATCAAAAAGTGATGCGGCGCATGCAATGGATTGTTTTAAATTACAATCCACTTAGTCTGCCAGAATAATTAGTACACAGCGTTGCATCGTCATGCATTCAAAGAGAGAATAAATGGATTAATGGGCTAAGTGGTCATACGACAAACTATGTGTCTGATCTAAAAGCTAGATATATACAACTGGCAGATGCCCATCCACGTACGAAAAAAAAAGAAATCACAGAAACCTGTATCATAGATCTGTGGGCATGGTAAAAGCGTGCAGCTCAATTTTAGTACTATTAGTCCATAAACCATTACCAGTCTATCAAAAATGTCATTAAACAAGCTAAAGGCCAACTCAGACAGCACCATACAACACAGCCCAACGCGATTTGTTGTCGTCTCAGGTCTGTGTGATGTGATGGTTTGTGTTGAGGACAGTCGCGTCATAGAGTATTAAACATGTTTAATATTTCTTACAAAGACTAAAGACTGTCCCCGGCGATGAATTGCGTCGGGCTGTGTCGTACATACAACATTGTCTAATTTGGCTTTAAGACGTCAATTATCAGTCATTCTGAAAATTTTATAGCCACACACAAAAGAAAATGAATAAATTATTAAAATAACACCATATACATATGCAAAGCTAACATAAAACATGACTTACTGTATATTATGCAACAATTACACTACAATAAGACCAGACTGATTTTGAACAATATGAGTTGTTGACTTACATTCGCTACATGTATCTCCCGTGAAGCTTTCAGCACATGTGCAGGTAAAGTATGTGATGAAATTATTGCACGTAGCATTATTGCTACATGGAATAGATGCGCATGCATCTTTAACTGAATGAGGCAAGAAGGTGAAAGCGTGAGACAAACATAGTAAGCATGATTCACAACCAGAAAACATGATTTAACACAATAGTAGTAAATGTTCAAATATTCAAGAACCAATACAAATTATTAGAGAACATAATGCACACGGAAAAATAGTAAAGAATTATCAGGAATATATATATATATATATAGGCACATCACACAAAATTGTCGCATAAAAATAGATGGTGTGAACAGAGCTTAAGAAGTAAAAAAGAAAATGTGTGTGAACAGAAGCAAAGAAATAGGTCATGTGATCAAAAGGAATTAAAGAAATAAGTCATTTATTTAGAAGCAATTAACTTAATATTGTAAATTGAAATTCGTTTTTACTAAACCACAATAAATATATTATACGTACTTGCGACATTTCGTGTGCTTTCATATTAATATTATATTCAAACTAGATGAAACTATTCCAACAATTAATTTTTAATTTTCAAAAAAATTATCAAAAAAAAATCTATTGGGTAATTTTTTTGGTATAATAATGATTTCCTCAAGTTTGTTTAAATGTCTTGAAAATAAAATTGATTTAGCTGGTGAATCCATGAAAAATTAAATTAAAAAAATTTAAGCCTAAATATTTTAAGTAATATGACAGAAAAAACAACAATAATAAACCAATAAAAAACAGAATAAACAACGAATGTGTATATTATCATGTTTGCATACCATCTCCACAGTTATCGCCTGTGTACTCCGGTAAACAAGAGCAGTTATAGTGTGTGGCATATTCATTACAAGTGCCTCCATTTAAGCAAGGTGCAGTTAGGCAGTTGTACAAGTCTGTATAGAAAAACAAGTGCAAGTGTGTACTCAGTGGTGACGCCAGCTAAAGTCAACAGGGGCTGATTTAGGGGGGGGGGCCGGCCTGGCCCCGGCCCCCCCTTTTGGAAGGTAAAAAAAGAAAAAAAAAGAAAAAAAGAAAGAAAAAGAAAAAAATGATAGCCCACTACACCTCAAATGTTATTTTCCAGCATCTAGAACACAAAAATTTTGCGGTGGCATGCCCCCGGACCCCCTAAGACATTGTTGTCTCGATTGGCCCAAATTTCGGCCCCCACTTTTGGACATCTCTGGATCCGCCTCTGGTCAAGGTGCCAACATCCCCTGTATGACATGCTGGGTCATCAGACTAAAAATATTAATTTCCTTATCCAAATATCACTATTTTGAATGCCAAACTCTAATTGTGGTTTGAAAGAATAATTTTGGATCATGCTATGCCATACCATGGAGGAAAGAAAACAAATTCTCCTTATTACGGATTTTATTCCTGGACACTGACCAATAAGGGATTTTATTCCTGGACACTGACTAATAAGGGATTTTATTTCTGGACACTGACCAATAAGGGATTTTATTCCTGGACACTGACTAATAAGGGATTTTATTCCTGGACACTGACTAATAAGGGATTTTATTTCTGGACACTGACCAATAAGGATTTTATTCCTGGCCACTGACTAATAAGGGATTTTATTTCTGGACACTAACCAATAAGGATTTTATTCCTGGACACTGACTAATAAGGGATTTTATTTCTGGACACTGACCAATAAGGATTTTATTCCTGGCCACTGACTAATAAGGGATTTTATTTCTGGACACTAACCAATAAGGATTTTATTTCTGGACACTGACCAATAAGGGATTTTATTTCAGGACACTGACCAATAAGGGATTTTATTCCTGGACACTGACCAATAAGGGATTTTATTCCTGGACACTGACTAATAAGGGATTTTATTTCTGGACACTAACCAATAAGGATTTTATTCCTGGACACTGACTAATAAGGGATTTTATTTCTGGACACTAACCAATAAGGATTTTATTCCTGGACACTGACCAATAAGGGATTTTATTCCTGGACACTGACCAATAAGGATTTTATTTCTGGACACTGACCAATAAGGGATTTTATTTCTGGACACTGACCAATTAGGATTTTATTTCTGGCACTGACCAATAAGGATTTTATTTCTGGACACTGACCAATAAGGATTGTATTTCTGGACACTGACCAAGGGATTTTATTTCTGGACACTGACCAATAAGTGATTTTATTTCTGGACACTGACTAAGAAGTAGTCCCCTCAGTTGGGACCCTGCTGTCGGACTTGGCAAACACCCTGTCGGCAAATTTCTGGAGCACACCACTTTGTAATATACTACTGTGTTTGTAAATGTACACAAACGATACCCAAAGGAATCATCCAAACAAATACAGCAAGGTAAGGTAAGGTGAGTGAAGTGGTTATTATAAATATAATATACCGCAATATACAACATCCTTGGTGCATAAAGAATAAATGCTGTGGTAAGAATAAATGGTATGGTAAGGTTACTAGGGATGAAAGATCCCTAGTAACGCAAAATGAAATTATGAAGAATAAAATGTGGACTTATAACTTAATTCAAACATGTATTCTAAGCTATGCGCACTTCAGACGGTAATATCTTGATTTTGATTTCAATATTATAATTTATAAGATGAGAAAAGGAAAAGAGTAATGCATTTGTGGCCAAGTAAAGTGAATTGTTGTAGACTAGTTTAAAAAAATATTTCACATTGATGGCGCATTGGTGATGGTAAAATTGATGTAAAGATATGCAATTAATTTTCAATAACATTTTTTTTATTGATGAATTAATTCATATTCGTATTGCATGAAAGTGAAGTAATGAACACTTAAACTTTAGGGTGGTAATTAAAAGCTAAATGTTTTCTGTGGCAAAATCAATCAATGTTATTAAACTCTACATTGAACAAGTTACAAACATGTACACATATATGAATATTACAGTATAAGTAAATTTAGCAGTAGATATATAAACAAAAATCTCTTTTGTGATATGTCTTGTAACCATACTCACTTGTCTGACAGTTGGTTCCCTGGTAGGCAGGTGGGCAGTTACAGATGTAGAACGTACCAAAATTATTGCAGGTGCCTCCGTTCAGACATGGCGTATTGGCACACGCATCGATAAGACCTAAAAAGGACAATATTTACTAGCTTACAGATGAATAAGGCAGCTAAAATAGTATAAATCATACTCCAAGTATTGAAATGCACGCCATTGTGCCTATTTTAGGTACATGGCAAATTAATATGAAAGGGTTTTGTTTGCTTCCACCTCTATAAAAGATAAAAAATAAAATGAAATAAACTTGCACACAGACAGGATAGGTACGGGCAACATTTACGTTACCACGATGGAGTGCCGTATCAGCTTCACGACGGCCAAAAACCACAAGTAAGAGTGGATAAAGGCACTAAAATTACAACTGACGTTAAATATAATGGATGAACAAGTATATTGTACATTGCTTTCCAGTTCAGTGCATGTTCAGGCAAATAAATGCTTAGAATTCCTGACACTCCTCAAATTCATGCCAATAAGTATACAGCTATCATTCACTTTAACTGGTAGTTATTGGAAATGGAGTAGGTATAACTACAGAATAACAATGCTAATACAGTATATTGCCATAAGATTTTGGAATTTCTTTGAACCAGAAACTTGCATATCTATCACTACTAGAAGTTAGGTAACAAAGTTTGGTAATAACTATTACTTGCCTTCGCAAAATGACCCAAAGTATCCAGCAGGGCAGATGCATTGGAATGATGTGTCCACATTCATACAGATGCCTCCATTTTGGCAAGGGTTATTTCCACAAGGATCTACAACTGAAATTGTGATTATTTAAAAAGTTATGACAAGTATCAAATGAAGGTTTATCCAAATTTTTGTCTTATTCTAGTATTTATTGTATTTGGGAAAAACTGAAAAAATCTCATTTGATGGCTCTTAATCTAGATGTGAAATTATTGGCAACGGTTCAGAGAAATAAAGAAGTTTAAAGATATCTGTCTGCCTATAGTAGAATCTGGAAAACACATCATAAATTAAATTGAAATATTAAATTGTTCATTAAAAAAGGATCAATGTTTAGTGAGTACTAACAGATTATACTTAGGACTCTCATTAGCACACTGGGAACCTGCAACTTATCTATCACTACTGGAAGTTAGGTAAAATGTTTGGTAATAACTATATACTACTTACCTTCACAAAGTGACCCAAAGTAACCAGCAGGACATACACATTGGAATGATGTTTGCATATTCACACATGTGCCTCCGTTTTGACAGGGGTTAATTTCACAAAGATTTACAGCTGAAATTATGATCATTTAAAAAGTTATGATGAAAGTATCAAATAAAGGTTTCTCTGATCTTTTGTCTTATTCAAGTACTTGTATTTTGGAAAAACTGAAATAAATCCCATTTGTTGGTTCTTTATCTAGTGTGAAATCTGTCTCTTATACACATCCTCAAAATTTATTAAGAAAATAGACGAGATCTTTCGGGCGTAACCCTTTATCAAGTCAGTGACAATATATATATATATATATATATATATTGTATAGGATATAAATGGGTAAGTTGGTCTGGTGCTGAATTAGCTTTATGACTAGGAATAAACAAGTTTTGAGTTAAATAATTAATTACTTGACCCGTCATAGTAAGAGCATGCTTACCTAATTGACAGTAGACACCAGTCCACCCTGGAGTACAAGCACAAGTGTACCCTGAAACTGTATCTTGACATGTGGCACCATTCACGCAGAGGTTGTTAGCGCAAAAATCTGTGACTGTCAACAGAGTGTAAGAATCATTATTTTATTGTTTGAAGGTTTTCACATCATAACATATCATTTACTTTTCACATGATGATAAATAATAGTAGAACAATACAAAAATATATCAATGAAGCAGGATTTCCTAAATGTTATTAATAAAATAAGTGAGACTTGCTGCTGATTGTTGGAAAGCTAAACAATAGCTGAGATGGTGTACCACTTGTGCATCCACTGTAATACAAAGAAAACAAATTTAAGATGGATTTCCAAGATTTTAATGCATTTTGGGCTGCAAAGATTTTCAGTCACTTCAAATTGTGCAGGACTCTTCAGTAGTAAATCTATAACTGTCTCGCACCGAACACCTGAGTATCCAAACAGACAGGTGCAGATAAAACCATTAACAAACTCTTTACATTCGGCTCCATTTAAACAAGGGTTTGAATCACAAAATAGCATCTCATATTCACATTCATCACCTGTGAAGCCAGTTGAACATGTGTAGAAAAATCCAGCTTCTGTTTCCCTACCTGAATTCGCCGGCTGATTGGTGAGTGATAATGATTCAGGCCAGACGATCGGAAAAGTTGAAACTGATTCAACTTTGCTGACAACATTTCATTTCAACATTTTACAAAAGAACTCCATCCTCATGATTTATAGATATGTTTTTAGGGACCATCTATAATTTCCAACATTTCCAAAAGAGTATAAAACGTACACTTTGGGGGAGGGGGAGGGGCATAAGTGTAGCCTTAAGATAAAATGATGATTTCAAAATGACACAAATCAATATTTTATTGTGGTATTTTTTGGGGGGGGGGGGGGGGGGGGGGGGGGTTCACAGAAAATAGTATGTTTTGTACTCTTTTGAAAATGTTGATCATTGGATAATGTTGTATTAGTATAGTTCATTTAAATTACATATTTAATTTGGTATTAAATCTGTAGGAGTGGATTTAATTGTTGTTGGTCAACAGTTAAGGTATTGTTTTCTTTACATGGCCAGAATATTTGTACAAAAAAAACCCCAAATATTGTTACATACTGATCATTTTTCCTGTATTAAATTACTAATAAAATATAGTAAAAAGTTGTATTTACCTTCACAGATTACTCCTGAAATCCCTTGTGGACATTGGCAGATAAATCCATTAACTTGGTCAACACATATACCTCCATTTTGGCATGGAGTGCTAAGGCATTCGTCAATATCTGAAGAAAAAAATTCAAAACAATCTTTGTATAAAACTATATTCCTAAGGTGAGACTTTTTTTATACCTCATTTACCGAACCCGCCGACTGCAAATATTGAAGATTTGCAATAAAAATAACATTTTATTTTTGGCAAATTAGCGCACTTGCCGCCACGAAAAATAGAAATTTCAGAAAAAATAAATTAAAAAAAAAATATTTTTATTACGCCCTCCGCTGTCTTGAAATCTCCAAAGATAAGATATGTATATTTCTTCCTAATTATATCAATTTGAAGCATTTAACCATCCTATTTTACATGTCATCAATAAAATTTTGTTTTTATTTTCTCCTCCGTCTGGATGATTTCGGCAAAACTATTTGCTAAATAAGAAAACACAATTTTATTTTAATTTTTATTCTGCCCTCAGATACTTCGAAGAATAAGAAAGACCCCACTACAAAAAGTCTTCAGACTTCAAAGGGTTTCACTGGTGTTCCCCTGAAAAAAATCCAAATGTAATTGCAATCCAAGTATACATATAATTATTGGTAATAACAAAATGCATCAACCAATCACACTTAAGATGTTTACATATTTAGATGAAGAACACAAGCCAAAGTATTAAAAAAATGTAAAAAATCCAGGATAAAATGTACTTACTGTCTGCACAAGTTTGGCCACTATACCCAGGCAAGCAAGAGCAGGAGTAGCCATTAGTATTCTCTGAACACGCAGCACTATTTTGACACGGATTACTGAAGCATGGACCAGATGTGACAACTATGAACAATGAACATAAAAACAAGTAAATATAGTATAATTTAGAATCTGTAATTTTTAATTTGTCACAATAAAATTCTGGAGATTAAACTTTCAGAGAAGAGGAAAGGTGAATGATGCACATTTTTATTTGACAAAAACATGTGATATGCATAAATATGGTTATGATGACATCACATCATGACCATATATAGGCACATCATGACTATATATGGGCATACAACAATTTTTTGTTAAAGAACATTTGATAATCTGGACAGAGCTTTAAGCTCTATCTACACCACACATTCCATATATGGCATATCATATCACATCCATATATTTTTTCAATAATTTGGTTATTTTCTTTATCATATTTTGATTTTGATATTTTTGATTGACTGTCCCTAATAATTTATTAATGGTACACTGCTGTACTTACGTGTTTGACATTGAATACCAGTGTAAGCGGCTGTGCAGATACACCTGATGCCATTTGGCACAATTTGACAAAATGCTCCATTTAAGCAGTTGTTTGTTTCACATGGTGACCGCTCTGTCACGTGATAAAGATTAAAAAATAAAAACATTTAATTTTAAAAACCTGTCATATTTTGAGGTTTATATAAAGAGTTCTTTAACTAATTGTGAAAAATCCTTGTTAAAGCTCTGTTCACACAATATAAGTCTTCTTCTAGACTTTCGTGGGCTATCCTTGGTGTTTACACCAAATAAATCCAATTCAATCTAATCCAATCCTATAAAATTTTGCGTGACATATATGTGTGATTTGATAAAGTCATATCACATCAACATATGAACAATGACATTAATTTATCACATAAAATCATGCCAATAGGCATTTTATTTAAGGCTGACAAGATGTGATATTAGCACATCAGTGATAAAATAAATACTACAGAGCAAAATACTCACCTGAAATGCAATGAGCTAATAAAGATCATGCTTAACAGAAATGGAGCATGTTACATAGACTTGCCACAAGCCTCTAATTCATTGATTTTTCCTAGTATTAGCGAATTTCAGGCAGCATCACCAGCGCCGGATTATGTCGGGAAACTCTTTATGTTGTTGAATTCAGATAGGAATTAGATACTATGGAACGCCAAGCAAATAAATAATATGGAACGCCAGAGGTATTTTTTTTTACAAGCGTTTTTTTTTTACATAAGCATTTCTTTTACAAGCATTATTTTACAAGCATTTTTCACTTTGCACCTCAGCATCAATCAAATTTTTTTTTTACAAGCATTTTCATCGATTTAGACAAAGTTCAGGGACTGGAACCCAGTCTAGGCGTAACATCATTAAGGCACCCACAAGTTAGAATTAATGTTGTTGGATGACATTAACATTAGGACATTAACCTACCAATTTCACAATTATCACCCTCATAAGCAAGTGGGCAGTTGCAAATGTAACCCGATGAATCCTCTACACACATTCCTCCATTCTGACAAGGGTTGCTAGTACACCCTCCAACAACAGCTGTTATACACAGGTGAAGAAATGAAAATAATATACATTGATAAAAATAATGATAATAATAATAATAATAATAACAATAATAATAAAAATAATAATAATAATAATAATAATAATAATAATAATAATAACAATAATAAAAATAAAAATAAAAAAAAGCCTTTTCAAAATACAAAACATATCCTTAGATACTTTACAAAAACTAGGTCTCATTATGGGACTTAAGGTCAATCCCCCCACCCTGTCGGACAGGCCGTTATTTTGACTACCAACCCAGAACATTGTGGTCTAACGGGACATTTTGGACCATATTAACCACTGAGCTATTCAACGCCACATGCACAAGTATATTAATTTAATTAATATTATTATATGCATCATTTATTGAATTGTATTTTAGTGGTTTTCTAACTACTGGCAATTATAAATGTTTTCAAAATGAGCAAAAGCATTACCATTTTCACAAAAATCTCCAGTGAACTCAAGTAAGCATAAGCAAGCAATAGTACTTTGGTCCTGCTCAAAACAAGTTCCGCCATTATTACAAAATTGTGACGTACAAGCCATGTTCTCGCAAAATGCGCCTCTAAAGCCATTCAAACAGACGCAGGTGTATCCACCGCTGGAATCCGGTGTGCACTCTGCACCATTTAGGCAATTATTTGCAGTACATACATTACTGCTAAATTCGCAATTGGCACCAGTAAAACCGGTTGGACAGCTACAGACATAGCTGTTGATACCGTCAATGCATGCACCATTATTCTGACAAGGAAAGCTTGAACATTCATTAATATTCGTTTGACACACGTCTCCAGTATAACCAGGATTACACGTGCATGTGTAACCATTTACATTGTCACCACAGATTCCCCCATTCTGACAAGGAAATGAGCTGCATTCATTAATGTCAACCCCGCAGTGTTGTCCAGTCCAGCCTGCAGTGCACGCGCAGAGGTATTGGTTAATGGCGTCTAAACAAGTAGCACCATTCAGGCATGCAACACCTGCACAATCATCAATGTTAATCTCACAATTGTTGCCAGTGAATCCCAACATACATGTGCAAGTGTAACCAGCGTTTCCTTCGTTGCATATTCCACCATTCTGACAAGGCATAGTGTCACACTGCTGAATTTCAGTATTCTCGCATCTAGCGCCCACAAAGCCTTGCGGACAAACACAGCCCACCACATTGCCACCTTCAACACAGGTTCCTCCATTTTCGCAAATTACTCCAGAACAACCTACAGACGTTTCACAATTCAGTCCTATAAACCCTGGTGCGCACACACAAACATAGCCGCCAACAGCGTTTATACACATTGCACCATTAAAACATGGATCAGTGAAGCATTGTGTTGGTAGCTCACAGTTTCTTCCGTCGTAACCAAAAGGACATGCACATGTGTACATGTCGATTCCATCAGTGCACGTACCACCATTTTCACATGGCATGCTTGAACATTCATCAATGTTAATCTCGCAGTCGTGGCCAGTAAATCCTCCAAGACAAGCACATGTATAATCATTGACAGCCCCGTAGCATAATGCACCATTTTGACATGGATTACTAATGCATTCCTCTTTTTCATTTTCGCAATTTATTCCCTCAAAACCGATAACGCAAGCGCACTGGTATGCGTTAATCAAATCAGAGCAAGTGCCGCCATTAACACAAGGAAAGCTTGCACATTCATCAATCTCTAAAACATAGAAAAAGCACAGAGTAAAAACTGAATACGGTAGCTAGTATCAAAGAGAATAAATAGAACAAGAGAGTCAACTACGCTCATTGAGAGCGTAAAAAACGATATGCCATACGCAGCCAGTGTAGGACGCCAACTAACGCTTGTATGCACTTTTTATTACCCAGTACTCCACCGCGCACGGTCAGTTTGTCTGTTTATCTTTTCTCCACAAGATACAGTACTTGTTATTTACTTACTGAGTTCATAGCGGGCGTATTTCTATTGCGCTGCACTGGGTAATAAAAAGTGCATACAACCGTCAGTGGGCGTCCTACACAGGTGTGACGTTTTCAAAAACAGGAGTACTCGCTCTTGTTCTATTTATACACTTTGCTAGTTGTATGTTAATATGTTAATGAGCATATAATATACAATGTAGTTTACATTTATCAGCTGCCCAGGAAGGTCACTCAAAATTGTATGTTAACCTACATTGTGTGTTTAGGTTATGAAAATCTTCCGAATTTGAGAAAATTGGGAATGTGTTTTGGGTATAAAATACCAATACCATTATTTTACAATTAATTAATATCATTGATTAATAATAATAAACTTATTTTTATACAGCGCAGAATGCTATATAAACCTCTATGCACTTTACATTAAAAGCATAAGCCATGACAGAATTAAAAAAAAAAAAAAGATGATTAAAACAGTGAGTGAAAGACTTTTGCAAAAAATAAAAAACAGGATTATGCCTTTCACTACCAAGCCTAGCTATATTTACCTTCTTCACAATGGGTGCCTTGGTAACCAGATAAACATTGACAAGTGTAACCAGGTATTTGTTCAATGCAAGTAGCACCATTTTGACATGGGTTGGATTGGCATTCTTGGATTGCTACATAAAAGCAAGGTTCATGCACACCATTAGCAAAAAACAATCTTATCAAGACTATAGCATTGCAACTGATATTTTGACAATTTATTCATAAACAATGCACACACACACACACATATACATTACATATACCAAGACAATCTCAATGCTTCCTATGCTGCTATTGTTACCTTCCATTGACATTTGACCTATTTTACCTGTTCCACAGTGGTTTCCCGTGTATCCAGCAGCACATGTACAGGTGTAACTATTAAATAAATTATTGCAGGTGGCCCCATTCAAACACGGACCTGGTAAACACTCATCCACATCTGTAATAAAATGTGTAGCTACTGGTAAAAAATATGTACCTATAGATGCTATTTTGGGAAGACCATTGCTATTTAGTCTCACATGGGCTGTGACAGAAGCTGTAATTGTATAATATTTTTTTGGTTTCATATAATTCAATATTCATTATGTTTTGTATTGTTCCTATTTGTGTTGTTCACCTGAACAACTATACAAAAAAACTGGGGTGTAGTCACTGCATAGAAAGTATATCTCCAACCAGTGCTTGAATACCAAATAATACACAGGGCGTTTATAGGTATAATTTTCCACCTTTAAATGATTCAAGGGATATGTTGTTTACCACACTTGTTCCCTGTATTAACCATCCTGTTTCACAATTCGTTTCTGGATATTTCATGACATATATACAAGTGTAACTACAGCCTCAAAAAGAAGCCCATAGCATAGCACGGGCCTTTTTTCAGGGTAGTACAGTATACACACCAATTTTCGTACAACTAGACCATTACCTACCCGATTCACAATTGGTTCCTGTATATCCCATGACACATGTACAGGTGTATCTATTAACTAGATTGTTACAGGTGGCTCCATTCTGACAAGGTCCTACTGCACATTCATCAATATCTGAAATAAAAATAAAAATGAGATATGAACTTTCTTTATTTAAAATCATTAACGATATGTGGCAAAAGAAGCCAAACCAGTCACTCGTCGCAAATCGTGTTTCAGAGAAAATGGCCAAAACATGCTGGAATGTCAAATTTTTAAAAATATATTTTATTGCACTAAACTAATCTTTACACATCTATACATCCTTCTATGCTGTTATTTTCCCCATTTTCAATGTTAAAACAACACTTTTTAAGGATTTGATGATAGTTTCTGCACGAGAAATGCCTGAAATCATAAACTTTGAAGGCTGATTTCTCATATATTGTTCTTTAAACAGCTGTATGTTTAAGTGCTTGTAACTTCATAAGGAAATGTCCGATTTGAAATATTTTTTTACCATTTTATAACTATTATTTTACTCTCTAACACTGTATTAATAACTCAAAATCGATTTTTGCGACGAGTAACTTATACTATCTTGCAACTTTAAGTCACAGCTTAAGACCTATTTGTTTTCCCATGGCTATTCACATGTATTGCGCCTTTGATCATATTTGGAATTGGCGCCATATAAAGTTGAGATATTATTATTATTATTATTATTACCTTGGTCATTGTAATAAAATAACATGGAATACATATTCAGTTCCTTTGGAGAGTTTACTTGGAAAATGTGCTGTACATTGGTATTTGATTCTACTAGCAACCTACTTACTTAGACAGACAACACGAATAACGTTGCTTATCCTAAGGAACAAATCAAGTGTCAACCTAGGTGTCTAGATTATTCAAAAACCATTCGTAGTTAAATATTACCTATTTCACAAAATGGTCCAATCCATCCAGGAACGCAAAGACATTGGAAGGAGCCAGGTCTGTTAAAACAGGTTGCTCCATTGGAACAAGGAATTGTAGCGCATTCATTGATATCTAAAGGAGTTGAGATTCAAAAGTGATGCAGAAACAATTTACATGAACCTACAGGTGCAACCAGGTTTTGTGAAAAGTAAAGATGTGCCATAAAAAATGTCTTGTTTCCAAAAAAAGAAATGTGCTACATCAATGCCAATAATAAGTAAGTTGAGATAAAATGGGTGCGCCTAGACAATCAATAAAGGGGTTATGCTGAAAAAAAGGATGTAGAACCAATAATTTTCTAATTATATTTTCTTTCTGTAAAAGTGCTTTAAAGCCAAGACACTGTACAATGGTGATGCGCCCAGAAAGGAAGTGGTAAAAAAAATAATAAGCTAAAGAACGTAAGAGGAAAAATGTGTGTTAACACAATGAGAAAATATATTAGTCCAAAGTATTTAAATCAGGTGCAAAATAGAAATGATGTTTTGGACTACGACAAAGTCAGATTCCACCTTCAAGAATTGAGGTATAACAAAGACAAGCCACTGCAAAATATGTGCAACAAATATACTGAAGACACCAACAGGTCAAGTTGTCAAGAAAAGAGTGCAACTAAGCTATTTAACCCAAACCAAAAAAAAAACAACAAATGACGTAATTAGGAGGTGGTTATCACATACAAGAGCAGATTACATATCATCCTATCGTGAAAGTTTGCTCAACATTAGCAATTAAAATTTTTCTTCCCAGCTGTGAGCAAAATATCTTTCATAAGTGATATTCTTTGTCTCTCATTCTCACAGTACACACACCACCTTGGGCAAACAGCTTGCTCTCAGTCATCTTATTAATTGGAATGGCCAATCTTATGTTCATTTAACCGGCCCACCCAGGATAGAGGCGGGGCTAGGTAGTACTCTTGTGTGATGATTAGCAACAACCTAGGTGTAAGAATTTTTCTCATTGTATATGTAGAAACAGGCTTCCAAGCAGGTGTCATGAAGTAACTGCCCTCTTTCCAGACTTTAGGATGCCATAGGATCTTTTGGTGCTGAAATCTGGAAAACCTTTAAAAATTCCTCAAAAATATTGAATTGCCTATTTAAAAAGATGTTATCAGCTTCTAATTCAGTTTTTTTTAATTTACAGATTTTTTATACAAAAAGCCCTGTTAAATATTGTTGACTTTTCATTCTAATTTTCAATTAGCTTCAGTAGACAAAGCATCTAAAATATGAAATTGTATTGTTGATAATTGTTTTAAAGAGAAAAAACCTTTTTGTTTTATTACAATTAACTTTAACAGGATTAAGAAACTAAACTAAATCTATTATTGTCAATACTATTATCTTTCTTGAATACATAAACAATTAATGTAAAAATATCCACAAATAACAATTATCAACATGCACTTTTAAAATATTAGATACCTGTTTCACAGTTGAAGCCAGTATACCCGGGTGTACAAGCACAGGTGTAAGCATTTACTAAATCAGTACAGGTGGCTCCATTCAAGCAAGGCAATGTTGCACATTCATCAACATCTGTAGTTTGGAAGTATTATAAAGATTACACAAAGAAACAATAAACAAACATTCATCCATCAACATCTGTAGTTTTGAAGTATTATAAAGATTACACAAAGAAACAATAAACAATACAATAATTACAAAAGAATTGACAAAACAATGGAGAAATTCTGGAACAATAATGCCATTCATTAATGGCATCAATCCACAGGCATCCAAGCACAACGTAAAACTATTGTAAGGTACAACAAACATATATAATAATAATATAACAATATGTTAGACTTATATGCCAACAAGGTCTCTAAGCGCTTCCCGTTATTACCCCTTGTCATTGGATCAAGCACATATGGAACACATACTCAGCTCCCTGGGGAGAATTCCATAAAGTTACTGTAATTGGTGCATTTTGTGTTTGAGCCTACCAGGTACCCACTTGTACTCCTGGATGGACAGAGACAACTGTAGATAAAGTGCGTTAGTCTAAGGACACAAGCGTAATGCACAACAAGGCATTGAATCTCCGACCTCAAGTTTGAGATGTACAACTGCAACCACTGCTCCTAACCGCTCCTATTTCAGATAACAGTTTGGTTTATCCAACAACATAAAATAAAGCAATTACTAAACAAACAATACTGAGTGGATACCTGACTACTAACTAGATCATTACCTACCAAATTCACAATTGGTTCCTGTATATCCCATGACGCATGTACAGAAGTAACTATTAACTAGATCATTACAGGTGGCTCCATTTTGACAGGGTGCTGCTGCACAATTATCAATATCTAAAAATAAACATTTAAATTACTGAACACTTGCTTTGGTTCATTTATGACATAGCATTATGTCAGTCATATATAGTACAGCCAGTGGCATATATCCAGGAGCATTGGGGGAAGCTGATGGGAGAACAGAGTTGAGGTGGTGCTTCATATTATTATTATGTGCTTCGTATTATTTTTAATAAGGGAGGAAGTGATCAATTTACAAAATAATAGAATGAGAGCATAATAAGAATACTGTACATTGTGCTACTGTACAGTAATCAACAGTTAATACTGTATTTTTTATTTAGTTTATTTAAATTGTTTTTAGAGATTTCCAATAGATGATATAAGCACTAAGGATGATGATGATGAAGATAATAGTAATAATAATAATTTAATAATAATAATAATAATAATAATAATAATTATTATTATTATTATTTATATTATACTTATTATTATTACTATTATTATTATTATTATTATTATTATTATTATTATTATTAATATTATTATTATTTTTTTTATTTAAAAAAAATTATTATGTCGTCTTTGCCTTTATCATTGTTTCTCTGGTAGGCATCTTGTACAGTGACATGTTCCCTTTATTGCCTACCAGACTCATTTTGTTTTGAGTGAACTAAAATTATGAATTATGAATTATAATTGAGTGGATTTAGCTGGCAAACTAAGGTGATATCAGGTGATTTTTATGGAAATGAATATTGAGAGGATAGTTTTTTTTCACCCCATCGTTACCCAGTTTTACCTACCTGTTTCACAATTGATTCCTGTATATCCCATGACGCATGTACAGAAGTAACTATTAACTAGATCATTACACGTGGCTCCATTCTGACAGGGTGCAACTGCACACTCATCAATATCTGAAATTGAAAATTAAAATTATAGTTGATACATTATAGTTGATACATTTTACACTATTGTTGTTAAAGACTAGAATCGCTAGAAAGGAAGATTAGGTATTTCTTTACCACACTGAATCCTTGTATTTACCTACCTGTTTCACAATTGGTTCCTGTATATCCCATGGGACATGTACAGGTGTAACTATTAACTAGATTATTACAGGTGGCTCCATTCTGACAGGGTCCTACTGCACATTCATCAATATCTAAGATTAAAAAATAAAATCATACTTGGTGTAATTATTACAACTGTTGCTTTTGAATGGTTTTTGTCCTCCTACATTTAATGAATATATCAAAATTATTGAAAGATGTGAGGGCAGACTTTTACATTGGAAAGTGAAAAGCAATACATTTCTAAATTCTGTTTTTGTATCTTTCCCTAGGCTATGGGAACAAGTACCACCTGTAATTCAAATTCTTCATCAATCTCATCTTTTAAATCTGCTCTAACTAAGTACTATATTTCATTATATTAGTTGTACTTTATTGTATTTTGTTTGTAATTTTTAGTTTAGTGCTTTTATATTTTTGTTTTTCAATAATTACAAAACTTGATTGGTGTTCAGTTCATTTTTGTGTAAGGTGGAGTGAGTGCAGTATCTGTTTGTGCTTGTGCCTATTCTCACTCCGGGCTTAAATTGTACTTGATGATTGCCAAATAAATATTATTATTATTATTATTATTATTATTATTATTATTATTATTATTATTATTATTATTATTATTAAATTGGAAAGTCACAGCCAATTATCCCAACCTCAATATATTGAGAACTTTATGAAATTAAACTTTAAAGTGTAAAGGTCTAGTGTACAGTATGTACAGCATGTGTGATGTTTGTCTTGAAATGGATTGTGATGAAAGTTTCTCTTTACAATTCTTAGTCCATGTGCCTAAATGGAAAAATAAATATATTTATCAAAACCACATTTCTAATCAATTGTTACCTATTTCACATAATGGTCCAGTCCATCCAGCAACACAAACACATTGAAAGGAACCAAGTGTATTAAAACAGTTTCCTGCATTCATACAAGGATTTGGAAGACATTCGTTGATATCTGAAATAACAGGGATTTAAAAGTGTCAAAAAATTAAAAACTGAAAAAATGTGGTTTGTTATCAATCCAGGTGCATGCAACTAAGTGTAGTGGACTGATAACATAAAAAGCCAGGTGCAGCCATGTGTACTGGAATGACAGATGTGCCATCACAAACCATAGTGTATTGACAAAACACAAGATTCGGGTGCAATAGTAATAAATGTTTTTGAAATGTTAATTAAAGTTCTTTTCAAACATGTATTAAAGCTAAACAACACCATATGTTGACTTGCACAAGAAAGAAATATTCAAAAGGCAGAAATAAATTATACATGAGCAAAACTAGATTGATTGGAAACAACCTGTTTTCAAAGCAGTGCAATAAAGCATTCAGAGAAATGGTGCGGAGAAAAATAGAAAACTTACAGGACTATGACAAAGCAGGTTTCCAAAAATGAAGAAGTATTGTGCTAAAATACAGTAATTTCTCTGTGATAGAAGTAAAGCAAAGCTAAACTACTACAAAATGGGTGGTTGTGCAAAGCAATCACAAATGGCAAATTCAACTAACTGCACAAAATAAACTTTTACATGTATGGCCTAGATGCAAAGGTTAAACAGAACTATTGAATGAAAATAGCTAGTGTCCTGTGTGAAAAAGACAAAATATGCATGGTGTAGCACTGACGGTGAATAAAGGTGAACTGAATTTTTTGTCAAACACTCTGTCAACATCTGAGAAAAATAAGTTGTTTAGAAAGAAAAAGAAAAGAAAATAACAAAAATGTGTACAACAAATAAGAAACACAAATTTCATTTGCTACCTGATTCACAATTGATTCCAGTATACCCAGGTGTACATTCACAGATGTAAGCGTTTACTAAATCAGTACAGGTGGCTCCATTCAAACAAGGCGTTGTTGCACAATCATCAACATCTGTAGTTTTTGGATTATAAAAATCACACAAGCAAACAATAAACACTTAAAAAAGACCAAGATTAAAAAAACCAACTGAGAAATTCTGGAAAAATATGGCCACAGATTTATTGCATCAGTTTGTAAGCATCCAAGCATTATGCAGAAATATTTATCTTACATGACATAACATCTGGGGTCAATAATATAGGCGTACAGAGCTCATGCTTCTCTTCATTGGTTATCGTTATGTCTCTTGATTACTTTATATAACCCCTCCTTTGGGAAAGCCCTATTAAGGGGGCACTTTTCAGCCCAAAAAAAACAAGGTAAAGTTTAACTGTTAACACTAATATCACACAAGGAAACAATAACCAATTGTAAAAAAGAAAGAAAATAGACACATTCCGCTAGGTTGGTCACGTGACGTATAGTGGATATCAATTGTAAATATTCAGTGTGAACAACGCTCGGAAATAGGAAAATGCGTGGCTTCTTCGGAGTGTTTGTGCTGTAAAGTAATTATACTAAATTGATTGGAAAATGAAATTGAGAGTTTTGCCATAATGATTTTTGCTAATGCTCTAAAAGATACTGGTCCCAAACATTTAGATTTTTCAAGAAATGCTAGGCCTAGGCCCCCGCATGTCTACGGCCTGTTTAGGTATGTACGAGAGTCTTCGTTCCACGAACTGCGATTTTGATATGCTACGATTTCTAGGCTAGCTTAAGTTTACAAAGGATTACATAAAATTAAAAAAAATACAAAGCACATTGAACGCTAGAATAAGTAAATAAACACTATTTTGAACAATCATAGTCCCTTTCCTTGCCAGTTATTTCTCACATTAATGGTGGGCGAATGTTGTCAAAAACCCTAACATTACCCTTTCCTATGCTTTAACACTGATCGCATTGTAAATTCACCATAGTAATACCCATTATGTGTCACATGACCAGCTGTAAACAAACTTTGCGGAATGTGCCTATTGATGGGAAAAATATGGGCCATGCCTTAAAGGCAGCAGTCTACAATCAAGCAAGCATGAATCAGTTTATTTAGAAGAGTCATGAAATGCTCACAATACAGTAACAATGTAAGTTAAGAATTTTAGAAATGGCATACAACATACTTGTTTCACAATTAGCACCTGAGAAGCCAGGTGGACAGGCACACAGGAAGGTATTGTGAGCATCTACACAGGTGGCCCCATTTTGACAGGTGTTGCCTACACAGTCATCTATGTCTGAAATTCATAAGTATAATAATAGTTCATTTAGAATGTTTAAATATTAAAGACTCAACTTATACCCAATTCAAATGTATGTACATCTTTGTGTAAAACAATACGTAATGTCTTTGTAATATCTTGGTAATCTTTACAGGAAAGAGCTAAGGAGATGAGGTGTGCTTAGCAAATCAGGTTCTAATTAACAGCCTTATAGAAAATATTGATGCCAACACTGCAGATGGAATGCATGTTGGGTGGAAGACTGTTCAATAGTAGCTTGGACGTGACAGGAATATAGGAAATTATGTGAATAGTCAGTGCAACAACCTGCATAAAGCCAGACACTCACTGCGTCGAACAACGACCATACGGCCGTCGCACGACTAATCCAAATTTGCATAAGGCGAGCGAACATTCTTTGTCGCATTGCTGTCGCGTCGCCGTCGCATGCAGTGATTAACCAGCTTAACATTCTGCTTTATAAAACTACCTAGGCTGAGTGCAGCTTAACAGCGGGAATGGTGCCAACGAGAATAACGAAGCTGTCTGCTGCGAATAATGTGACTTGGGAAAACATTTCTGATTGCGTGTTGGCATCGCAAAGCTTTTCAAAGAATGCACCTACACCTAGACTTAAGCTTTGTCCACACTATGAAATTATTTTATGTTACAAATTTGAGTGATTTGCAATGTAAGGGCATGATGATGCCGCATTACACCCAAATATGGACATCACATATTTACAGTATTTGTCACTTCAAATTTGATAGTGACAGTAGACAGAGCTTAACCACACAAAATCTCACTATCTGAAAACCTTCTGTTTCAAATCCAAGTGTGAACGGAGGTATTGATGAAAGGTGACGAGTTGCCATTCACTTGTTTACAGTTTATCTGATGTGAACACAGTTTAATGTTTATACATAAATGTCATGTGTCATAATATATAAATTAAAGACTGCTGTAGGTTTTCACTATAACCTAGAACTATCCCAAAAATGGAATTCTCAGATGTGGCTAATTTCCAAGTATTAATTAATAATTAATATAAGCGCTGTCAATTAGCTGATGCATGATGGACTGCGCGTTGCCAAACCAGAGGCGTTTTGTAAAATAACACACAAGACAAGATTATCCAATATTGGTACTAACTCATTTCACAATTGGTTCCCTCAAATCCAGTTGCACAGAAGCATTGATACCCAGAACCAGTATTGATGCAAGTAGCCCCATTGATACAAGGGTTAGGACTACAGAAATCAACAGCTAGAAAAACAATTATTAAAACAGAAATGTGTATGACAAAACTTGAACAAAACAAAAAAATATTAAAAAACAGCTGAATATCGCTTAGGGCTACAGATATCAAAAAGACAAAAAAATTTGAATAAAATAATAATGCATTAAAAACACCTGTAAATAGTTAAATGAATAAAATTACATTAGATTACATTAATAATGTATGGTATGAATACTTTATCTATCTAATAAAACAGTACTAAGCTTAACTGCATGCTAAAACAATTTTATAACTCTTGAATGAGGGGCTAACACTTATGAACAAATAAAATATAAAATAAAGAAAATAAAATAGTTTGTACTATGATGACATATCTATGTTTATATTATATAATGTTCCAGTCCAGCCAGTAGCACAATTGCATTGGAAAGAGCCTTGTACATTAACATTTGGCTCCATTGAAAACAAGGATTAGTAGGAGAACATTCATTAACATCTGGAAAAATATATTCGGAACAAAAAAACATGTATAATACAGGGAAAACAACAGAATGTAGATGAAAAATGAGAATGGTTTGGTTTATCCAACAGAATTTACACAACTATGATAGTTTACCTATATTACATAATGTTCCAGTCCATCCAGTGGCACAATTGCATTGGAAAGAGCCTTGTAAATTGACACAGGCAGCTCCGTTCAAACAAGGATTTGTAGGAGAACATTCATTAACATCTGGAAAAATATATTCGGAACAACATAAAACACATTACAAGGAAAACAATGGAGTTTAGATGAAAAACAGGAGTGGTTTGGTTTATCCAACGGAATCTACACAACTATGATAGTTTACCTGTATTACATAATGTTCCACTCCAGCCACCAACACAATTGCATTGGAAAGAGCCTTGTAAATTGATGCAGGCGGCTCCATTTAAACAAGGATTAGTAGGAGAACATTCATTAATATCTACAAAAATATAAGAACAAAACAACATGTACAATAAGGGAAAAATAACAGAATGTAGATAAAAAATGGGAGTGGTTGGTTTATCCAACCGAATCTACACAACTATAATAGTTTACCTATATTACATAATGTTCCGCTCCAGCCAGCAACACAATTGCATTGGAAAGAGCCTTGTAAATTGACACAGGCGGCTCCGTTCAAACAAGGATTTGTGGGAGAACATTCATTAACATCTGGAAAAATATAAGAACAACATAAAACACATACGTTACAAGGAAAACAATGGAATTTATATGAAAAACAGGAGTGGTTTGGTTTATCCAACGGATTCTACACAACTATAACAGTTTACCTGTATTACATAATGTTCCGCTCCAGCCAGCAGCACAATTGCATTCAAAAGAGCCTTGTAAATTGACACAGGCGGCTCCGTTCAAACAAGGATTTGTGGGAGAACATTCATTAACATCTGGAAAAACATAATAAAAAAAAAAACACATACGATACAAGCAAAACAATGGAATGTAGATGAAAAAATGGAGTGCTTTTGTTCATCCGATATGTTTACACAACTATGGTTATGTTCACACACACGGCGTAAGACTGGCGTAGCTTACGCCAGGCGTAAGCTAATTCACAGATTTAAATTCCAAAGTGTTCACACAAACGGAGTTCGCTATATTAACGCTGGCGTTAAACTAGTAGTAATATAGGCTTATGGGGGAATAGTTTTAAGTTTTAAATAATGTACGGGTTCTTAACTGTAGTAAAATTAACAGTGCATCAGTAAAACTTTTAAATCTGTGAATTGTTCGAAGTGAACTTATATGATTATTGTATTTTAAATGAACAATTTTACTTTACTTTGATTTTTCAGCCAGCATTGTTGGTGTTGTAGGTTTTAATAGACAGTCTAAATAGGTTAAAATATCTTAAAATACACAATCAACAAATCATATACATTATAACTAATTAAAATGCAATAGAAAAAGAACCCCTTTACCATTTCATTTATAGAGAGCACAGGAAAGAGACCAAAGTAGCTAATATATTGCAATCGTGATTGGTCAAACTCTTGAAATGAGGTCAAATCATTTAAGCATCACTGGCGCTAGCTAATCTGGGGTCTGCAGGTAGCGTAATAACGCCAAGGACGTGGTGTAGTGAGTGGCTTTAACAACGCCACTGCCTAGTTCACACACAAAGGCTTACGCTACACCATGCTTAAGCCAGCCTTACGCCGTGTGTGTGAACATAGCCTATGATAGTTTACCTGTATTACATAATGTTCCACTCCAGCCACCAACACAAATGCATTGGAAAGAGCCTTGTAAGTTGATGCAGGCGGCTCCATTTAAACAAGGATTAGTAGAACATTCATTAACATCTACAAAAATATAAGAACAAAAAACATGTACAATACAAGAAAAATAACAGAATGTAGATAAAAAATGGGAGTGCTTTGGTTCACCCAACGGAATCTACACAACTATAATAGTTTACCTATATTACATAATGTTCCAGTCCAGCCACCAACACAATTGCATTGGAAAGAGCCTTGTAAATTGACACAGACAGCTCCGTTCAAACAAGGATTTGTAGGAGAACATTCATTAACATCTGAAAAAATATAAGAACAACATAAAACACATACGTTACAAGGAAAACAATGGAACTTATATGAAAAACGGGAGTGGTTTGGTTTATCCAACGTATTCTACACAACTATAACAGTTTACCTGTATTACATAATGTTCCGCTCCAGCCAGCAGCACAATTGCATTCGAAAGAGCCTTGTAAATTGACACAGGCGGCTCCGTTCAAACAAGGATTAGTGGGAGAACATTCATTAACATCTGGAAAAACACAATAACAAAAAAAACACATATGATACAAGCAAAACAATGGAATGTAGATGAAAAAATGGAGTGGTTTTGTTCATCCGATTTGGTTTACACAACTATAATAGTTTACCTATATTACATAATGTTCCAGTCCAGCCACCAACACAATTGCATCCAGCCAGTAGCACAATTGCATTGGAAAGAGCCTTGTAAATTGACACAGGCAGCTCCGTTCAAACAAGGATTTGTAGGAGAACATTCATTAACATCTGGAAAAATATAAGAACAACATAAAACACATACGTTACAAGGAAAACAATGGAATTTATATGAAAAACGGGAGTGGTTTGGTTTATCCAATGTATTCTACACAACTATAACAGTTTACCTGTATTACATAATGTTCCGCTCCAGCCAGCAGCACAATTGCATTCGAAAGAGCCTTGTAAATTGACACAGGCGGCTCCGTTCAAACAAGGATTAGTGGGAGAACATTCATTAACATCTGGAAAAACACAATAACAAAAAAAACACATACGATACAAGCAAAACAATGGAATGTAGATGAAAAAATGGAGTGGTTTTGTTCATCCGATTTGGTTTACACAACTATGATAGTTTACCTGTATTACATAATGTTCCACTCCAGCCACCAGCACAATTGCATTGGAAAGAGCCTTGTAAATTGATGCAGGCGGCTCCATTTAAACAAGGATTAGTAGGAGAACATTCATTAATATCTACAAAAATATAAGAACAAAAAAACATGTACAATACAAGAAAAATAACAGAATGTAGATAAAAAATGGGAGTGCTTTGGTTTACCCAACGGAATCTACACAACTATAATAGTTTACCTATATTACATAATGTTCCAGTCCAGCCACCAACACAATTACATTGGAAAGAGCCTTGTAAATTGATGCAGGCAGCTCCATTTAAACAAGGATTAGTAGGAGAACATTCATTAACATCTGGAAAAATATAAGAACAAAAAAAACACATACAATACAAGCAAAACAATGGACCGTAGATGAGAAAATGGAGTGGTTTGTTCATTCGATTGGGTTTACACAACTATAATAGTTTACCTATATTACATAATGTTCCAGTCCAGCCAGTTGCACAATTGCATTGGAAAGAGCCTTGTAAATTGATGCAGGCAGCTCCATTTAAACAAGGATTAGTAGGAGAACATTCATTAACATCTGGAAAAATATAAGAACAAAAAAAAACACATACAATACAAGCAAAACAATGGAACGTAGATGAAAAAATGGAGTGGTTTTGTTCATCCGATTGGGTTTACACAACTATGATAGTTTACGTATATTACATAATGTTCCACTCCAGCCACCAACACAATTGCATTGGAAAGAGCCTTGTAAATTGACACAGATGGCTCCATTTAAACATGGATTAGGAGAACATTCATTAACATCTAGAAAAATACAAGAACAAAAAACATGTACAACACATTGAAAAAAATGGAATGTAGATGAAAAAACAGTGGTTTTGGTTTATCCAATGGAATTTACACAACTATGATAGTGTATCTATATTACATAATGTTCCGCTCCAACCAGCAGCACATTTGCATTGGAAAGAGCCTGTAAATTGACACAGATGGCTCCATTCAAACAAGGATTAGTAGGAGAACAGTCATTAACATCTGGACAAATATAAGAACAGTACATAACAGATACAATACAAGGAAAATGTTTTAGCATAGTATTTAGAAAGTAAAACAAAAGCAACATGAACTGTTAAAAATAAAATAAATCTTACCTAATTCACAATTGATTCCAGTATACCCAGGTGGACATTCACAGATGTAAGCGTTTACTAAATCAGTACAAGTGGCTCCATTCAAACAAGGCAATGCTGCACAATTATCAATATCTGTAGTTTGGAAAGATAATAAAAATCACACAAGAAAACAATAAACACCAAGATTTTAAAAAAATGACTGAGGAATTCTGGAAAAATATGGCCACACATTTATTGCATCAGTTTGTAAGCATCCAAGCATTATGCAGAAATATTATCTTACATGGCATAACATCTGGGGTCAATAACATAGGCGTACAGAGCTCATGCTCCATTGGTTATTGTTAAGTCTCTTGATTACTTTATATAACCCCTCTTTTGGGACAGCCCTATTATGGGGACACTTTTCAGGCCAAAAAACAAGGGAAAGTTTAACTTTTAACACTACAGCCAACCCCTATAAGGGGACACCCTTCTTAAGGGGACACTTTCTTTGGTCCCGAAGGTTCTACTGCACATTTTTTAATAAGCATGAATTCTACACCACAGAAATATTTACTGACAGCCTCCTTTGAACACTAACAGTAACAAATGAAAGTATATTCAAAGTAGGTCTTCCTGTGCTACATCAATTTAGTACTACAGTAGAACCCATATTAAGAAGACACTGTCGAAAGTGTCCCCTTCAAAGTGGTGTCCCCTGAATAGAGGTTGGCAAAGTGTTAACAGATGAACTTTTTTTGTTTCTTGGTCAAAATGTGTCCCCTTTTGGGGGAGTCCAAAAGGGGTTCTAATGTATAATAGTCAGATAGAAATAATTACTGTGACTGACAATAAAACAATAAATATGGGTCGCATATTGCAAGAACTCATTCAACACAGTTAGGATAAGTAATGAGGTATTTTTAAATACATATATATAGAACAGAAATAAATAATATTTTCAATAAGTACAAAATAGTACACAATTACTTACAAACTTTATGTCATCATCTTACTATTTTTAAGTATGTTATTAGCTTCCAACAGAAAATTATAACAAAAACATATTTAGTTTGCCAAATAATGGTCACATAGTAATAGTTTTGTGAATTATGATGTATATTTTACTTGTTTCACATAATGTTCCACTCCAGCCAGCCAAACAATTGCACTGGAAGGAGCCTTGTAAATTTATACAGGCTCCATTGATACATGGATCAGACAAACATTCATCTTCATCTGCAAAAATGTAGAAAACAAAACAAAAAACACAATAAATAGTTTAGCAAAATGGTTAAGAAATCACACAAAAAAAGTGCTAGAGAAAAAGTTTACTAAAACGAAAAAAAATAGAAGACATGTGGGCAGGAATAATAAACGAATCATTTATTTTATTGAGCCCTAAATCTTCATTTAACATACCACATGTAATATTAGGTGCACTGTGATCCTAGGTAGGCAACTGATATACATGTACAATGTTACAAAGTAAAGCTACAATTTGTACATAGCTAAAAGATGCTGTCGCAAGATGCTATCATAGCCTCAAACAACAAGCACCTAAAACATGGTCTTTCTATCATTTTCAACAAATAACTCTTATCAGATTCACAAGTGGTAAAAGTTATAAATACAAATAAGCCTATAAAACAATGTTTTGTCATCATCCATTTTATGATTTTTTTTTGTAAATTAGTGTAAAGCGCATAGGGACAGTGCAATGTAAGTGTCAATTTATTATTTCCAGTACAGTAATTAGAAATGTAACTCACCAATTTCACAATTTGGGCCGCTGAAACCTTGGGCACAAGTACAAATGTAACTACCAGGTGTGTTTTGGCACGTCCCACCAAACTGACAAATGTTACCGGCGCATTCATCAACATCTAAAATACACACACTCAATTTAATTATATGTATTCATAGTTAAGTCACAGATCCTATATACAGGACCTGTGGTTATAAGATAACCGTTTGATAAAACTCATTTTGAATGCACAATCAGTGAAATCACAGATCTTATTACATACAGTAGAATCTGTGGTGCAATACAAGCCATGCACTAAGCAGGTCATGTGATCTGATATGCAGTTTTTGATTGGATACTTGTGCTCAGAAAATAGAAACAAAGAAGAGTGCTGACACACAAAGATTAAGGCTGAAAAACTTGGCAGAAGAAATATATATTGAAATGAAATGATGGCAAAGCTCTTAAATAGATGCTGTTGCAAAGACAAAAATAATTTTTGATCATCTTAAAATATCAATGATATACTCCGTGTTACTATCAGATAATGAGGGAGTTTTGCCTCTCCTTGCATTAATGTCAAATTAGAATTGTCCTTAAAAAGGGAAAATCTGAAGCTGCAGCCTTCCTCATTTTCTGTGTGTTCAAAATCATATAAATTATTATATTTTTTTCTATTGATTAAGTACCTAACAATTAACAGTTAACCTTTGACCGGCGTTATGAAGCAATATCAAATAGTCAGCTGGTAACTTACCACATACAAAAGGTACATATAATTACAATAAATCAATCTATATTATTTCATGTTTTTTGTTATTTTTTAGCGCATCACAGACAATAAAATTAGCTCTAAAGTTTTAGGAAAAAAACTAATTGTTCTATAATAATTTACTAAAGATTAGAAGGTTAATTATATACTAAATAGTATTAGTATTTAGTATTAGATACTAAATTAAAATCAAAATATTAGTTATAAAACATCAAACTAAAGTATACAACAAAACCTAAATAGTAAATTACAAGTACATGCAAACATAACAATTTCAATTTAATTCTAATACAAAGGTCCGCTGCCATTGTTTTTCACACTTATTTTATAAACAGCCTGCTTTTACCGTAAATTAGTTTCTTGAGAATAAGCCCAAGAAAATAAATTAAAGTTAATCAACATACTGAGGTAAGCTTTTTTTAATGATCTAAACAATGTTGGACAGCAAGATGTGTACTCCCTTCCCCACTGTGAAGCTTCTTTATAGACATGACAGGTTCTGGTAATTAAGCATTATCAAAAAAGTTGTAGTTATTATAATAAACTACAGTGCTATTTTTTCCATTACTCATCAATTTCATCACAGAAAAGAACATGTGATAAAACTGATAATTACACAGTAGGTAATCATGCTGACTCAACTCATGCACTAAAAATAACTAATGAAATAAATTTATAAACGAAACATACTTAAATATATATTGTACATGCATGTGCTATACAAAGTTCAACCAAAAGGCATGCACAATTAACAATAAAATAAAATTACGATAGACTCCAAATAGATAGTTCATGATATGCTCAACAATTGTACATTATTTTTTATCTATATAAAGAATAATAATTTGAATTTCCATATATGAAATTATCAAGCAAATCACTTTTCTTGTGCCATACACAAATTGACTGAAAAATTCATATTGTGGCTTTATTCTCTTGGTACTTTTTGGAGTCTACTATTAATATTATATATTGGTACATTGAAATTCTACAAAACTATTAATAACTGTATGTAGCCCCTTACGACTACTCACAATACTAAACATTAAGTTGCAGGAGCCATATCTTGACATTGTATTCTATATTCTCACCCTGTTCACAGGTTGGTCCCATCCATTGTGACGTGCAAACACAGACAAAGTTCAAATCATCTCCAAGGCAAATAGCCTCGTTTTTACAAGGCGAACTGTCACAAACTGCACTTGGTGCTGTGATATGCAATCATACAATACACAAGAATATAAAACAATATTATTGACATTAATATAGAGGAAATTGTTTGAATCTAGCCATTCCTGCAAATTCTGCCTTTCCTATCTATATTAAAAATAGTTTGTTCCTATTATAATCCTATATCTGATAGTTTATACCTGCTATCACTATACTTATCTAAACTCAAATGCACTGTATTCCTATATAGCACATATACATTATTCAAACATACAAATCACATAATCTGTAACAAAAATGTCAGGAGAAAAAAAATTAAATGAGATCTTGAAAACCTGTATAGAGATGATTGATAAAAGTAATAGTGAAATTTTCATCTTATTTCTGTTTAAAAAAAATAATATCAATTATTTAAAAACAAATTTACTGTAGTGAAAAATCAGAAGAAAAGTTTCTGAGGAAAATACACACTTTGTAGGTAAGTATATAAAAAGAAAAAACCACAGCCGAAGCAAGTTGTGCAACTTTGAATGAATGAGAATTTATGAACTTAAAGGAAAAAGAAGGTGTGTTGTGCAAAAAGCTGGAACACATTTTGCAGAAAAGTATTCTTTCAACTCAGAAAAGGAAGTGCACAGATAAACCATGTGCAGTAGTAATTTTGATGTATTGTCATTGTATTATGGCTCATTTTTTTAATGAGAAATCATACAAAACACCAATTTCAGAATGAATTCATACAAACCACAAGAAGGTGATACTGAAATCTAGTGAGTGTGATTGGATGGGATAGGTATTGTGCATAGAGGCAGAACACATTGAAAAAAATCTACGTTCCTTCAACTCCAAGAAGTATGTGCACTATGAAAAATTAAGGAAATCATTTGTACATTGCAGTAAGCAACTTGAGCATCTCAAGCATGTTTGCACCAGTGCTAAAAACAATCAAAACTTTCACCTATTTCACAACGAATTCCTGTAAAACCAGCAGGACAGCTACAAATGTAAGCATTTGTCATATCACTACAAGTACCGCCATTTGTACACGGTGAGCTATTACATTCATTGTAGTCTATAGAAACAAAGCAATTATTTCCATCAATTCAACTTGAGTAAACTTATGCAACCAACAATATACCAAAAACAAGTCAACAAAACCAAGATAAGGTTCTAATTAAATGAAAAAAGAAACAAGCTATAGTTTGTACTGAACCAGATGAAATTCTTCAATAATTTAAAACCAAGATATATTTCTAAATTAATGTCAAAAGTGAATTGGAATGGATAATTATTATTAAATCTTGTATATATTACATTTATAGAAATGGTCACAATCGTGAACATATTGATATGGAATATATGTTGGTGGCGGTATAATGGCGTTGGCTATTCACCTTGTTCACAGAATGTACCCTGGTATCCTGGAGCGCACCGACATCGGAAGAAATTAACAAGGTCGTCACAAGCTCCTCCGTTCATGCACGGAGTGCTGCTGCACTCATTAATGTCTGAGAAAATGTATTAAATATCTTTAAAATATAACTAATTATTATTTAGGAGAAGTTTTTCACAAAGGTATCAATATGTAATGAGGATTTACAATATTTCTAGCAACATCTACAAAATCTGATTGCAATATACAATTGCAAAAACAGATATCAGTCAGTCCCTAAATGCTCCTTGTGAATAATTGATACAATTAAATTAAATTATTTAATTAGTTCTATTCATGTATTAAACATAAATGCATTATCATTTTAAATTTGTTTTATCATATAATCTATTAGAAAATAAATTATTTTTGAAGTGTTTTAAATATGAAAAATCAATAAGTAATTCCAAAATTCTAAACTTAGTTTCTGAATTTATACATAATCCTAAAAGTTTGTTGTTTTTTTTTTTAATTGTTAATTGGAAAATTTTTGTAAAGCATACAATATGACATTTTTGCATAGGGAAAGATGAAAGAAAAATAACCTTCAGCGCAAACTCGTCCTTGGTAGCCAGGGGCACAATTGCAAGTATAAGCACCAACTGACTCAATGCAAGTTCCACCATTCTGACATGGTGAACTACCACACTCTAACACCTCAACTGCACAAGTGGGACCTGTCCAACCAGATGGACAAATGCAGTCATAACGATTAATTCCTTCCACGCAGGTCCCACCATTTTGACATGGGTTGCTTCCGCATTCCAGTATGTCTATTACATGATTAAGATACCGGTAAGTTAACAATCAAAAGTAAATTTAAACTATTTTAATACCTTGATATGTTTGTTGTGATATTTTAGTGTCAAATGGCCAAACGAGTTTCTCCAATGTGGGATAATAAAGTTGTATTGTATTGCACAAAATGCACTGAAGGGGACTATAAGTAACAATCTTTAAATGTAACAAACTGTATATCTTTTATGCAAAATTCAGTATTTCTATTATTATAGGTTTATCACAGAAAACATACAAAAAACATAAAGAGAGAGTATGTGGAAGATGCAAATTATTGTTTACTACTGTATGTGTCAAAATATTGGTTTGAATAAGAAATGTTGGTTTATCTGCTAAACAAATTTTACCGATATTGATATTTACATTATTAAGTTTAAGTGCATCATTATTATTGAATAGTTGAATTTTCTTTATTTACTTTTACACCTCAAGGTTATACAAACTTCTGACAGATTTTTTTAAAGCCATGATTAAATAATCACCTTGATTACAGAATGTTCCTTGGATGCCGTTAGGACACAAACAGCGGAAAAAATCAACAAAATCCTCACACGTACCACCATTCTGGCAAGGGCTACTAGCGCACTCATTCACCTCTAGAAAACGTACAATCAATTCAAAGGTACATATGATAGAGTTTTTTTTATTAATGTACATCAGTTCTCTCACAATAAGAAACTTTATTTCAGTGATTATTTGAGACACCTTGCATCAATCAAGTTGGTTTAATTGTGATATGAATACTTTACATTTGACTTTTTTTAGATATCTATAAAGCAATGTTTGCATAGATAACCATGGTACAAAAAAAAATCACCTTCAGCACAGACAGTTCCTTGGTAGCCTGGAGCACACGTACATGAATATGCACCGATTAACTCAATGCAAGCTGCGCCATTCTGACATGGTGAACTAGCACACTCTCGCACCTCAATTTCGCAATTCACACCTGACCAACCAAATGGACAAGTGCAGTCATAACGATTGATTCCATCCATGCAAGTCCCACCATTTTGACAAGGAGTGCTACTGCATTCCTGAATTCCTATTGCACAATTAAAGTTAAGATTGATTAATTTTAAGTTTTTATATATTATTTTTGTTATATCCAGCCTGTAAAAGACCTATAATTACACTCATACAGTTTTAAGTGTTAACTTGTTGCAAATATACATTAGAATTTTTAACCAACAGAAGAACAAACATCATTACACAGTTGAAGCCATATTACATGTACTGGATTAACAATATTATTAAATCAGTAAGAGGTAAAGTAGGAGAATAACCCATAACTTGCAGCGTCATTGTGCTGAAATGCATGGCCGCCAAGAGGGAAAGCTGTAACAGGGGCTTTTTAGTAAATTTTTTGAGTAGGCTGATAGACACAACTCCTGGAAATGCAAACATTCATATCACCTTGATCACAGAATGTTCCTTGGACGCCATCAGGACACAAGCAGCGGAAAAAATCAACAAAGTCTTCACAGGTACCTCCATTCCGGCAAGGGTTACTACTGCATTCATTTATCTCTACGAATGTTCAATTACAACAAGGAAAAGGAAGGAATTTCAAAACAATGTAAATAAAACATGTGTGGTACAAATAATTTAAGTACAGAATGGAAGATTTTGTGTTGAAAATCAGATTCAGAAAGCTGAAAATACTGTAAATTAAAGTTTTTATCCTTATTGTCACTCAATAACATTTTAAATTAATATCATTAAAATTTAAATCATTATCATTTTTAGTATTATTATTATTATTTTACTTTTGTCAATTGTGACATCATTGTAACTCGCAATGTTCATGTTTCTGATTCCCAACTGTGCACTAATTTTTCATTAGTGCATGGTTAGCAGGCCAGCCCTTAGGAATTTTTTCCTTTCATTAATCTAACCTTTGTATAATTTCCACATGGTGTATGATACGCAACTATTCTAATTACTTATTATATATTTTTCACCATTAATTTCCACCATCATCTTAATCAAAGCCATCATTATCTGGATTAAATTTCCTAGTATTCATATAAATCACCTTGACCACAATACAGTCCATTAAATCCAGGTGCACAGGAACAGTAGTAGCCATTGATAACTTCGTAACAGGTGGCACCATTTTGACAAGGTGCACTAGAGCATTCTAATATGTCAACGTCACAGTTGTCACCTGTCCACCCTGGGACACATGAACATGTGTACCTGTTCAGTTGATCTGTGCAGGTAGCTCCATTGAGACATGGGTCACTGTCACATTCATTAATTTCTGTGAATTTACAATGGGTTGTCTGAATAAATTATGCAAATTTCTATGGATTATCTGAATACAGGTGTCTCATTTTAATAATACTAAATTGAAATAACTGAAATTATTTTGAACTTCCTACAGGAAAAAAAGCAAGAAAACTTTCAAAGACATTAAATCTAGGCATTATTGATATTAGAGTTTAAACCTAGATATTAGTGGTAGGTGTCTAGACACTGTCAATATTAGAGTTTAGATTTCCAGACACTGTCTATGTTCAGCTTAGAGTTAGTGTTTCGACACTATCATTATTATCAACGTTTGAATAATATGAATTCTAATTTACCAAAAAAACAAAATACAGTACTACAAGGGCGTAATAATAATGGCATATTTTCAACAAACACAAAACAGGGTTTTTGTATTGAATACCTTCTTGACAAAATACACCACCATATCCAAGGAGGCAGTCACATCTAAAGGCATTGATAAAATCAGTGCAACCACCAAATTGGCAGGGATTGCTGGAACACTCATCGATTTCTGAATACACACCATATTAGACAAAAAATAAATGTTATTTAATTAAAATAATAAGCCAAGATTCAGAGAAGCAATCTTCTATTAGTATATACTGTATATTCATATATAAATTTAATATTTTATGTAAAAATGTTTGTACTTAATTTTGTGCCTTTAGTGATTAAAGGAGTAAACTTGTAAGCAGCTTAAACACACCAAGACACTCAGATTGATGAGTGTGTTCAATTTAAAAAAAAATAATTTTCTATGCAGAAATTTACTTTATATAATCAAACAAAACATTGAAATTATTTTCATAACGACTTTTACCTATATCACAAAGCACTCCTGCAAATCCAGGTGGACAAGTGCAGACAAACCCTCTATTCTGGTCAGTACAGGCGGCACCATTTTGACATGGTTGACTGGCACATTCAAGGATATCCAAATCACAGTATAATCCTGTCCAGCCAGGTGGACAGATACATGCAAATGAATTAATTTGTTCAATACAGGTGGCTCCGTTTTGACATGGTGAACTCTGGCATTCTAGGACCTCTGGAGCACAAAAACAAGGTTTTCAAGTAATACAACACTGAATTATTAGGAGTCCTTGAACATCCACATGGTCATGTGGTATCCACTGACCAATGACAAATTGGTCTCAGAAATTTTGAATATTCATGTTTATACGTGAAGATGGATGGCTGGCAACACCATGTCTTAAATGTTTTTTAATCACTTACATAGACAAGAAGAACGACTACAGCAAAAAGAAAAATACTCAATAACTAATTAATAAAAGAGTAATTAATCTCCTAATGTACTGGCCAGGGTTAAGCTACAAATTATTTGCACAATATCTGGGACCACAAATTTACTATTGTGTTGATTAAAAATAGGGCTACATAATTATACAATATAGGTATTTGCAATCACCTGTTTCACAAAGACCACCTGTGTATCCAGGTGCGCAGATACATGCATAACCATTGATAGCTTCTATACAATTGGCACCATTCTGACATGGTGAACTGGCACATTCCAATACCTGTTGCTGGCAATATATACCTTGCCACCCAGCAACACACTGACACAGAAAACCATTGACTTGATCTGAACATATGCCCCCGTTAAGACACGGGCCACTGAAGCACTCATCGATATCTGCCATAATCAGAACAACGTTAATAAAGCTATCAAAGTAGGCTACATATACATTTAACAATAATCATAAATATTGTAATTATGGAATTGAATAATATAAAACAGATAAAATATAGATATATCTGTAAATGAAGCAAAACAACCTACAGCTACAGATTGCCCTGCAACCCAGAAATCCCCCTTAAGTTTCACATTATAACTCAATTTGTTCTAAATTTTTCATAATCCTGCAATTGAGTGTACTTTTTTGATGTTAGAAAGATAAGCAAAATTAAGTAATGTTTCATGAAACAAAATAGATGGTAATAATCACCTTCTTCACAATTGTTACCGGTATACCCAAGTGGACAGGTGCAGAAATAACCGTTTACATTATCAGTACAGGTGGCACCATTCAAACAAGGTAAACTTTGACATTCATCAATGTTAATCTCACATAACAGACCAGTCCAACCTAAAGGGCACTCGCAGACATAGCTATTTACCAAGTTCCTGCAAACAGCTCCGTTCTGACACGGTCTGCTTATACATTCATTCACATCTATAAAATACATATTTATAACAGACTTATATTAAATAGATACAAGTTGAAAGTAAGATACAAAGTAACTCTAAAAACTTCAATATTTATAATAAACTTATAATAGACACACTAGTTGAAATAAGATCCAGATTTACTGTAAACACAAGTAAATTATTAAATGAACATTTTAATCATAATGAAAGATGTAATACAGCAAAATAACAGAAAAAATAGGAATTTCAAATTACTGTATAAACAACATAATACAATACAAAAATGAAAATTTACTTTGTAATATAACCAGAAAAATTATCAAAGATTAATATGTATTACTACATGCATCTTGAATACACAAGTACAAAAATTACTGTATCACCTTGTTCACAGAAAATTCCCTGAAATCCAGATGAACACATGCAGATGAATCTGTTGACCTGGTCCTGGCAAGTTCCGCTATTCTGGCACGGTGAACTCTGACATTCATTGATATCTGATCAGTATGAACACAATATAGTTTATCTCAAAAAAAAAAATTCATGTGCAATTCTTTTAGGAGGTGTTAGCTTTCTCAAGTGCACTGCTATGATTAGAGAAATTGTTATTCTAAGATTTCATTGAAAATATGAAGGTAGAGCCTTTGATGTCAGTAAAAACATAAAGTCATGTATTTTTCTCTTGCAAGAAAGTGGAAATAAAATGAGCAAATTATAACCACTGCTCAGGTTTAGGATCTGTATACAAATTTGATTAAATACTGAACATTATCAATTGTATTATAAGCAGAGATGAATAATTCACCATTTGGTGGTAAGTGAAGTGATGGGGCAATTGCCTGCTAGAAAATAAACAGCTTGTGCGACGAAAAGTGAAGAAATACAATCTCATGGTGCGATGACAGCAGAATGTTCTAAATTTTATCATAAGCAGAGATGAATAATCACCATATGGTGACAAGTGAAGTGATGATGCAATTGCTAGAAAATAAACTTGTACAATGAAAAGCAAAGAAAAATCTCATAATGTGATGACAACAGAAAATACTTAAGAGAATAAGCTGGATGAAGACATCATTTTGATGTATCTGATGTGGAAAGGATGGTTGCACATTGTGCATGTTAAATATGGATGAAATGATCATGGTTAAAATGGTTGCACGCAATATGACACATAATCTTCGGATTGTAAGCCCTGTCAAACTATCAAATATTATTTGACAAATAAATGCCTAAATATGGTCATGATGACATCACATCATGACCATATATGGGCATACAAAAGTTTTTAAATAAAAATTAGATAGTGTGACAGAGCTCTGAAGTTATATAATACTGAACATTGAAATTATTAGTAATATATGATAAGCACCGATGGAGAATACAGCAAAAAGAGACCATTTCTGGGTGATGCAAATGAGGAGCATTTGCTGCTAAAATGGTGCAACCTATAGCAAACAAAGAAAATGCAATTCCAAAGTGTGATGACTCTAAAAAATACAAAGCTGAAAAATTATTTGTTTCTAAGAATGGCATGATCAAACATGGTGCAATCAATAACCAAAAAACAGCATCTTTCCCAAAAGTGTATTAGTGGGTGAAATTTTGAAGCAGTGATCAAAATCTAAAATATAAGAACCTTGTTCGCATAGAGTCCCCTGAAAGCCAAGTGGACATCTGCAGATGTAACCATTGACTATATCATCACAAGTGGCACCATTCAAGCAGGGAGTGCTAGCACACTCTTGGATCTCTTGTGTGCAGAAAGTGCCTTCCCATCCAGACAGACAGTCACATATGAAACCATTAACTTCTTCTGTACATGTGCCACCATTCTGGCACGGACTGCTACTACATCGAAGAATCGCTGTTTTAAACATTCAATTAAAAAGTAAATGCTGTAATACATTTAAAGGATGTTTCCAAGACAGCAATAAAAGACAACAATTTCAAAAATATATTGGAATAAAACAGTATCTGGAAAAAGTGAGAGACAAATAGAATCACCTGTTTCACATCGATCACCTTCATAACCAACTGGGCAGTTACAAAGGTAACCGTTGGCCATCTCAGCACAGGTGGCACCATTTAAGCATGGATTACTATTGCACTCTACTATGTCTAGAGTACACAAAGAGCCGGTCCAACCTGCAGCACATTGGCAGAAAAACATGTCCACTAGGTCCTGACAAGTGGCACCATTTTGACAAGGATTACTGGAACATTCATCAATTTCTTCATCACATGAAAATAAAAATTAACAACATACGTGAATTTCTAGATACAATAAAAGACCCCCAAAAATATGACTTTGTATTAAATATTTTATGTCAAAGTTAATATAAATAATGTAAATATAGAAAACAACAATTAAACTGAATATTTCATAATTAAGATATTCTATTGGTCATTTGGGAAGAAATTGAACTTTGAACAAGGAGAAAAGATGGAAGAATTTAAAAGACCAAAAAATGAAAGATATATTACTACTATTTTCAGAAATAAAGGAAATCTATAAGAAACATATCTTCACCTATTTCACAGTTGGCACCTGTGTAGCCAGGCAAACACTGACAGGTGTAGAAATTAACATTATCAATACACATGGCACCATTAAGACAGGGTGAACTTGCACATTCTCGGATATCTACAGCGATATATTTAGAGTAGAAAACAAATATAAAATACAGTCACAAACTATAACACTTAATAATATTATGAGAACTGTTCAGATTTAACAAATAATACATCTAAAGTAAAGTAAACTCATTTTGTCTTGCGAAACTAGGAAATGTCTATAACTTGGTAATTCACAGGAACAGCAGCTTGTTAAATACAACCAGGAACACCTATATGTGGTTCAGTAAACAAAACCCATTAAAAATAAAATCATTATATCAATATTTATCGTAGTTTGAAAGTGGAAGAACACCACTATAATACTAATGATAATATCATTTTTTTTAAATAATTGCGTATGTAAATTTAGTCTAATTACTGGTTCTCTAATTGCATATTTTCTTATAAACTGACTATACAGTTAGCCCTACTTGTTCAACTAATAACAAATCTTACAATCTTTACGTATACATATATAATATATTTTAGCAAAACAATTTTCAACTATTCATTATATATTGGCAGAATGCAGGTTGGCTAAGAATGTGTAAAAAACTTTACATAATCCTACAAATGAACTTACATAAGCCCTGTTACATTAATACTTACCTGACATTTTAAGTTTTAAAGAATAACAATGACTATAGAATAAAAATGATTATTAGAAAAATATTAAAAATCTAAACAACTTACAATCTATTTAAAAAGCAGTAACTTTTATCAAACATAATCACAACAGAAAAATATATTTTCAAGATATATTGTTATAAGTTTGGGAAAAAGTTTTCTTATCAGAAAACATACTGCATCTTCAAATACATAAAATATGAAATCATGCACTACATTAATATACTGACTTGATAAGTTTATTCGTAGTTTAAACTGCACATGCCTGTATCAAGGCCAATAGACATAAACAAACATACACACAACAGGCATGTGCAGTTCAAACTACAAGATGGCCTATTCACCTGTTTCACACTGCAAACCACTGTATCCAGGTGGGCATATGCAGCTATACCCATTAATCTCATCAACACAAGTGCCTCCATTCTGACAATTATTATTAATACAGTTTTCAGAGTCGATTTCACAGACCACACCCTCAAATCCAGGAACACAATAGCATGTAAAAGAATTGACTTCGTCAAAGCAGAAGCCTCCATTTTGACAAGGATTACTTTCGCACTCAAACACATCTGATGGAAGAATGGTTGAAATTAGTCATGCAGATATATTTATAATTATTAACAGGCCAAAGTATTCCAGGCAGTAATGGACCTTTGTGCTAAAATCCGCCCCATGGGTATTGTTGCTATGGTCACACAATGCAAACACATGCTTTCTGATTGGTCAGTTGTTAAGTTTGGTTGAAACTCCAGAAAGGTTCATATACAATTTGGAGGAAAAGGCAAATAGAAACAAAAGATTTGATGGGGAAACTTGGTTAAAAAATGTCTCCAAGCTGCCATATTCTAAATCTGCACTGATGGAAGAATATGAGCCTAATACTGTACCTTCCATTAGACCTGACTGTAAAGAAATGCTCATTGAAATTTGAAAAAAAATTAATGATAGATTTTGCAGTGAAGCAGATAAATACAAACTAGTAAAAAATATATAAAAAGGATGAAAAGTGCATGGAAGTTACAAATCAGTGAGATGAGAGAAAATATAAATGAATAAAAGCATTACAGGTTATGTTACAACCCATATATGAATGAAATTGCTAAATCAGAAATAAAACCAACAATATTTATTTAGTACCACCTAATGAATTTATTAATTATCATGGTTAAGTGAAGTGTTCTCATAAAATCTTAATAACGATTACCAATAACATATACTTATGGATTATATTTTAATTGTACATAAAAAAAAAAAAGTAACAAAAAACAATATATTTGTTTTACAAGTGTTGTTCAATTAAAAAAAATGTTTTGGAAAGGATTTTATCTCAGAAACACTGTAACAAGAACCCTTTCATTCAGCTAATGTTTATCTGTTCAGATCTATCAGATTACATACACCCTTTGATGGTTATGAAGATAATACGATTTTGTATGTATGTATGCATGTATTACTGTATTCATGTACATTAATAGCACTATGGTGCGTAGACTCCCAAATTCTGCAGGTGAGGTTAAGCAAAAGCAAAATACTAAATGTAATGACAGATGCAATACCGACAGCATTATTTCTTGTTGAAATAATTATAATATAATCTATATAACATTGTGACCAAAAATAATCCCATTACTGAATCATATCTCTGTTAAGATTTTTTATCTGGTGGTGACCAGCCAAAAAAAAAAAGCTAGCACCCAAGTGAAGATGTCTAAAGCAAAAAAATCATGTTCAAGAAGTTAAAAGTCATGTCACACCAGGTTTTTTTGTGAGCTAGCCCCACCCCCTCACTTATTCATTGATCCCCTCATTTCACCTCCATTCCCCCATTTCAATACTCCAAGATACACCACCAGTGTTAAGTACACCAGTGTTAAGTACACTAAGAATTTGCTTAAAATATGTATCCTCGTCCAAAAATTAATTTGAGAGTTGATTTTAAACAAAAATTTAAAGTTACATTATTTTAAGTATAACCTGAACTTCTCAAAATTGACCTAGTATGTAGTGGTTCTACCTCAGCCTGTTTCTATTAATAGTTACATTGCATAAGTGTAACTGGTTGTTGTTGAGACAAAATAAATTAAATAAAAACACTGTTTACAACTTCAACCGCACTTCAGAATCAAATCATATATTGTTAATGACATGTGGCAAACACAGAAACCCAAGCATATACGGTAAACTTTTAGTTGTTGTTGAAAGTAGGATCGAAGATAATGACAACAATAATAAGAATAATATTTGAGCACCCAATTTTCTTAGTGTTGCAGTGCATTCAGGAGAGCCCAAGTGTACTACTGTAACATTGTAAAAATCAAATTGTGAATAAATATTAATTATTATTAATTGGAATTTACATCAGGTTTTATAATGCAATATATTCATATAAATACTTTGTGCCCATCTTATCAAAAGATGAATATATAAAAAGATACCCTAACTTTGCCTAGAGATTTTCAACACTTTATGTGCAGTGTATTGTATTGAAATAGAACCCAATCATCTTTTCCAAAAGTGCATAAATATTGTGTGCAGACATTGTCTTTGCTGGATAAACAAATACATTAAACAATAATACAAAACATTACGCAACAGAATTACTTATACAGTAAGCCATAAGGGTTGAAACTATACAGGAAAGCATATATAAGAAATAGAAATATAATAAAAACAATATATAAATCTGTATGAATACATATTGTAAGTCTTTGCAGGAGAAACATAAGAGATACACAGAAATAACTCAGAGAAAACCATAACATTTGAAACCCAGCATATTCCATAGAGTTCGAAATTTCAAAACAATTACGTACAAATATTTAATGCAGATATTTTATCTTTGCTGTAGAAATCCCAAAAGCATACATAAGTATGCATTTACTATACTGTATACAGAAATTATGAACAAGAATTACTCAAAAAAGAAAATGAAAACGTGCAAAACGTTACAAAGCATTCACTAGAGAAAACTGAAAAAGTATTGTATACAATAAACAACACAACTCAGAAGAATAATCAACCAATAGAGCCAATTTCCAAGTGCAAATCGATATACATATATTGAAAAAATTCTATATTATACACTAAAAAATGTAAACAAACTATGCATAGGAGTACACAAAGAAAAATCCCAAAATAGAAGCATATATTAAATAAATAAAGTAGAAATTACATTAAAATTTGTATGCAAGACTGGAAAAACTGAAGAAGAAAACAGAAAAGCTGAGACTGATCTTAATTTCTGAACAATGCAAAACCTTTAGTGTTTTAACCAAGCAAATATTTTGTATTCACTGGAGGAATCATAAAAGAAAACATTTGCCACAAAAAAAGAATTCTAAAATAAAGAGAAAACTGTAAGATTTAAAAACGGGGAAAAAATAGACATAGATCAAAAACTTCAAAACAATATGAATCTGAATAAAGTTAATAATTATAAAGTCATTATTGTTGAAGCTAGATGAAATTCTTTGAGAATAAATGAATCCCAAAAAAACTTGAAGAGAAATCATATTTGAAACTTGACAAAGAAGCATATTTAATAAATAGAACTACGGGTACCAAGTGTGCAAAACAACATACACATCTGTGGAGAAAACATAAAAGTATACAATGAACAAGACAAAAGAAAATATGTACAGGAATAACTCAGAGAGAAAACCCAAAGATTTTATATCCAGCAAAGAAACATAAATATAAACCATTCACAAGTACAAAACAATAATGTTGTTAAAATCCTTTTTTGCAAACATTTTCTTAACTGGAAAAAAGGAATACACTAAATTATGCAAGGGAATATATCAAAGAGAAAACATTAAGATATAAACCAAGCATTTAATATATAAAAATATTTTCAAGAGTGCAAAACACAACTGTGTACAAAGACATATCTTCAGTGGATAAACCTCAAAAGTATATAAATAACACAAAAAAGATTATGCATAATAGTAAATAACCCTAAAATTAAAAACCCAGTAGAGGAGCGAAATCAAGATATATTCTCCAGAAAAGTGGCAAAGACTGGCTGAAAGGTGCAAATATATACTTTAAATTCAAGAATGCTTTTGTGCTTGCAACTGAGTGCCATATTAATCACAGCAAATATCTGTGGCAAAGAAATTGAATCACCTCTCTCACAACGACTGCCTTCAAATCCACTTGGACAGACACAAACGAAGGCATTTGTCAATTCTTGACATGTGCCCCCATTTAGGCACGGATCACTGCTGCATTCAGGGACATCCATGCCACACTGGGGGCCGTACCAACCCGCACTGCAGCCGCATACATATGAGCCAAATCCTTGGAAACAGGTGGCGCCATTCAAACATGGATTGCTAATGCATTCGTCAATGTCTAGTTAAAAACGGTGAAGTAAAATTTAAGTCTTCATAAAACATAGACCAAAAATTGTATTCAAAATTCTGCCTACACATTTTACATTAATTAGCCCACCAAGAGTTTTATTTAGTGTGCTTCGAATAAAAATTAAGGAGATAACTATGCTACCAGTTATGATTCAAACCCAAAACACACACATTTAGTAAATTTGTATTTAGATTGGATATCATACTCCTATTTTATTTTACTAGTGTCTTGTTTATTTCCTTTATTATTATTTACTCAGTGTCTTTCTTTCAATTGGTTTAGGCCAAAAGCCAAGGATATTCCAAACTGCAAACTTAATCACTTTTCTAAGTGGTATATCTCTTCACAAGACAAACATACAAGGCTTAGGGAGTTAGTGGAGTTATTTTAGTGGAGTTATTTTGGCTACTCAACTCCACTGTGAAGCTATTCAATCAAGTCTTGGTCACCTATAAACATTCCTTTTATTAAAATAAATATGCTACATTTGATTGGTCAATTTGCATCAACTATGGTTTGTCTTACTGTTTTCCTAGATTTTTAATTTGTCCTAAAGTTGGATTTGTCTTTAATCAAAAAGTTTATATTCAAGTATAGGATCATTATGCAAATCACCTTCTTGACAATCCACCCCTTGAAAACCAGGAGAACATCTGCATATGTAGCCATTGATGAGGTCATCACAAGTTGCCCCATTCATGCAAGGGGTGCTTAAACATTCATCAATGTCTGTAATTTTACATTCAAAGTTATTTTACTTACAATAATTCAAACATTTGAAAAATATACTCATAAACACAAAAAATAATATGAGCAAGTATTTGGACTAAAAACTTAACTTTAATGATTAAACGTTGGAATAAATTATGAATAAAAAAAAAAGACTACAATCACGTAAAATATAAGCTAATGTTTTCGGGATACTTCAACAATAAAAATAAAAAAACACTGATGGATTTTAATTACCTTCCTGACACCAGACACCTCTAAATCCAGGTGAACAAGAACAAACAAATCGATTCAGCTCATCTGTACAGAGGGCGCTATTCTGACATGGAAAACTTGCGCACTCGTTGATTTCAAATTCACAGAATACACCCTCATAACCAGGTAAACACTGGCATTGAAAACCGTTTATGAGATCGGCACAAACAGCTCCATTTGTACAAGGAGAACTTGAACACTCAAAGATTTCTAACACATGGAAACAAAACTATAGAATATCATTGAAAACAAAAGTCCTGAAGACTATACCCACAACAGTTTATGAATACGATCAATTACCTTCTTGTTGATTGCATCATTATATTAAGTAGTTTATAAGCAGTATATAGCTATAACAACATCTACTAGGTTATCACTTTTTGGGAACAGGACAATAAATTCTAATTTTTATTTAGATGTCTTTATTATCAAAAATGTTTAAGTTTAATAAAAGATTTTCAATTCTATTATTATCAAATAATTTCATAAATCCCTAAAATATAATATTACCACAGATTCAGGTCCAGGTTTTATTTACTATTCACTTGCAACTTAAAAGCTTTAAACTTGTTACTTAAATATAGTCTATTATAAAATAAAATTTTGTAATATTTAGCCTAAATTGTAAAACGCCGATAAAAATATCGACAAAGCAAAACTGGTATGAGATGTTCACCTCTTTCACACTGGTTGCCATCGTAACCAGGAACACATAAACAGAAGTACATATTCAACTGTTCAAGACATGCGGCACCATTGAGACAAGGGTTGCTGCTACATTCTAATATATCGTTGCTACATGTGGCACCAGTCCAGCCGGCTACACAGCCACATGTGAAGCCACCAACATACTGGAAGCAAGTGGCGCCATTCTGACAGGGATTACTTAAACATTCATCAATATCTATAAGGAATTCGTCAACATTATATTACAACACAATGCAGATATTTGATAAAGTATATTTAGTATACACTAAACACGTTCGATGTTTTCACTTTTTCTGGTATGAAGGTGCATAGTTTTAAATCCTCATTGCTTAATTATCATCTAAAATTCTTAATTCTATTTTGTATCTATCTTTGAAAGAAAATAGGCATTCTTAAATAAAGTCATCAAGTTTGAAATACGATAATTATTGTCAAGTTTACTCCTCTGGTTTTGATTTTGACAAAACAATGTGAAAATTATTTTCACGTTGTCTGGGATATATTTTTACTTAATTTATCGTCCAAAATTCTTAATTCTATTTTGAAGATTCTTGAATAAATTCATCAAGTGTGTAAATATTCAGATTTTATTGTTAAAATGTGAGTTCACTACTTTGGTTTTGTTTTTATTCACAAATTTATGAACTTAATGCATTTCATTATCACCTATTTCACAATGGATGCCTGTATAACCAACTCGACATTCACAAACATAACTGTTGATAAGATCAGTACAAGTTGCACCATTCCGACATGGAAAACTTTCACATTCTCTTATCTCTGTAAGTTGAAAATAATTTTTGATAAATTGAATATAATTGAGTATGATTAAATTCCAGCAATTTATTAATTATATTTTCAACTCTTATAAAAACTCACTTTAAAATAATTATTAGACTGGGTATATTTTAAACCATTTCAGTATTTACATTCCATGAAATAACTTGGTAATGTTTCAGATGTTACCTTTCCAATAATTGTAGAATAATATTTACAAGGCCATGAAATAAATTAATATGTTATGTTACAGATAAGTGATAAGTTCTTCTCCAATACCAGAAATATTATCATCAATATTATTAGTTATCAGAAACATGATTATTTAATGGTTTTTGGTCCGAAATACTAAATAATAACTGGTTTATAATTGAGATGTTAGCAATTTCTTGTTTATGCCTACACTCGTAACTTAAGGTACAGACAACACATTATGTTCTGAATATTTTACCAGTTTTTTCATGTACTTTAAAAATGAATAGATAAAATGACAGTAGAGATAATCACCTTCCTGGCACCAAAGCCCACGAAATCCTGGTATGCAATTACAGGTGAATCTATTTATCTCATCTGTACAAAAGCCGCCGTTCTGACAGGGAGAACTCGCACACTCATTGATCTCAAATTCACAGAATACACCCTCATAGCCAGGTAAACATTGACAGGTAAATAAATTAACCCCGTCAATACACAATCCACCGTTCGTACAAGGTGAACTTATGCAATCATTGATATCTAAACATAACATAATGTATAAATGAAACACAAGTTTTTAACAAATATAATTATTGCCACTAGTTTTTACAGTATAAGCAAGAGAAGGAATATTCTAAATATTACAGTCTTGCTTATATAAAAATACATTATATAGACCAACATTAATACTAATGCTTTATTATTTTATAAACATTACTAATGGTGATACAACTAATAAACAATAAATTTTAGCATCATTTTGGTCTCTAGATCTACCTGATACATCTTGATTTATCTGTACAGTATTACTTCTCTCTAAGTCTTATTGAGCACATAATGCCCAGATGGCCTCCATGCATTTTCTTTCTGGACACTGGACCAAACACTTATAGAACACATACACAGTTCTTTGGGAGGGAATTTCTTAATACTGTATTGTATATAATGGGTAGCTGCAGCTGATAGGATAGTGAAGCATATTAATATTATTATTATTATTATGTCTGCACATGAATCTTTGAAGCACGAATGGGTCAAGTAATCACCAGGGGGTGAAATTGGTTGCACATTGTGCAGTATTGCCTATTTCCATAGTGACCAGGGACCTTTCAAACACTGGACACTTCTTACAATAAATCCTACATAAATGTATTAGAATTTAAATAAATTAACATATGTTAATTTGCACCTCTTTCACATCTGCTTCCTTCATAACCAGGAACACAACTGCAGAAATATCCATTTGTGAGCTCAAGACATGCGGCACCATTGAGACAAGGATTGCTGCTACATTCTAATATATCAATGCTACATGTGGCACCAGTCCAGCCGACCACACAAGCACATGTGAAGCCACCGACATACTGGAAGCAAGTGGCTCCATTCTGACAGGGATTACTTAAACATTCATCAATATCTATAAGGAGGTTGGAGTATTATTATATATCTCAACATCAAAGATACAGTATAGTTAGAAACTATGTAAGAATAACTCCAATATGGTCAGCCTGTATAGCCAGTATCAGCCTTAGCAGTCAATTTAATATAATATTAATAGTAAAGTATATATTTAACAGGGTGATTTAACCAGCTATTAACTCATATGTGAGGTCTCACCACGAAATGAGACGCATCGTTGGTGAAATCATATTGAGATATTCACCAAATATGTCAAAGGCAACATTTTTACAAAATTTTGATTTTAATGTTTTTGAATAACTTGATACTTATATTTTATGATTGTGTAGTTTTTAAGTGAATTTTCTTACTAAAACAGTGTTCTCTTCGCATATTCTGTAATTCTAGTCCTACTATTTATTTGTACAGGTTAGTTTATCTTTGAGGCCGATTTTCTCAAAACCTGGTTCTCATGCACCTAAACTTTAAATGCTAACATATCTGGATCTATTTATCCTAGGGAAGCCATTCAAAGACCAAATTAAAGCTTATAATGTGGTCTACCAAAATGTAATATTAACTCATTTTTTGATTTTCTAACGATGAGACTCATTTTGTAGTGAGACCTCACATATTTTATAGCATTTAGTAAATTTCATACCAGTATGTTATTGTTTTCATGATCAAGTTTTTAGTTCACGATACATACATGATCTTTTGTTAAAAAAAAAAAAAAAAATTATCACAATTATGTGCACTGAATCAAATACGATTCAAAATATATATTCATAGTAAAGGTAATAGTTGACTTATTTAGTGTATAATATAATTTTGTTGATACTTTTTCAGAATTTGATCAATTTTTAATGTAAAGTTTTGTTTATATATCAATTGTTCATAGTCCAAAGTTTGGGAGAGTCTGGACCACTGAAGTGAAATACAATTGAACATATTATTATTATTGTATAATTAATTGGAAAGTGTTTTAGGCAGCGAAATCAAGACATTGTCACCTGTTTCACAAAAAAGGCCCTGATATCCAACAGTACATTCACACACAAAGAAATTGACAAAGTCCTGGCAAACTGCACCATTCCGACAGGGAAAACTTTCACATTCATTTATGTCTGTAAATTTTAAATAATCATTATAAAACAAATTATACAAAACATTATTTATGAAATACTATGCAAAATGGTTATAGTGATACAACTGAATAGACTAAAATCTTGATTTTCAACAGTCTTGGGTATTTATATTGAAAAAAAAGTAAATTTTGTAGAAAACAATATCTAAAGGTTTTCAAAGAAACAAATTTTATATTTTATTATTTTCAGTTATTAAAGAAAATGTAATCTTAGCTTTCAAAAACATGATCTTAACACTGAAAATACAGGAATACCATTTTATTTAAAAACTATATATCATTCATTAAAAATCGTATGTTTTTAATATGTCATTATTAGGAGCTCATCAAAATTCATACTTTCATGGACTCACTAAATCTACTGATCTGATCTATTATAGCAACTAAATGGTTCCAAAGTATGATTAAAAAAAAAATCAGTATTTCATAAGTCACCTTCTTGGCACCAAATACCACGGTAACCAGGGAGACAGTCACAGGTGTATTGACCAATCCCATCTCTACAGAGGGCGCCATTCTGACATGGAGCGCTTGCACATTCATTGATCTCAAACTCACAATATACCCCCTCATATCCAGTAGAACATATACATTGAAAAGAATTAGCAGAAGTTACACAAACTCCTCCATTAACACAAGGTGTGCTTGAACAAATGGCCACTGGAAGAGACAATATTATCAATCCATTTTAGGATAAACATCCTTTTTTCTTTGGTAGTTTATTGGGTTAAAAAAACCAGAGTGCTATTGTGACTAACAAGCACATTGATTGTATCACTAGTATGGTGTTGTTTATAATACATGTCTGCTAATTGACAACTGAAAACTACTATCTGACTTATCATCTATGTAATAAGGTTAAGATAAAATGTTTACAGTAAATTAAGTAAATAATCCTCGAGATAAGGACTCTTGTGGGAATTTTTTGTTTAGGTTGTAATATCACAATGTCAAGAAAAAAATTATTTTGTTCTAGAAATACACCCTGTTTTTCAAAAGAAAATGTTCATTATAAGAAAATGGACTTACTGCTGTTTCTACAGTGACAAGGAACACAAGTATAAATAAAACAATTCATTTTAGAACAAGGAAAAACAAAATTTGTGTAATTACTCTATATCGACCTATCTATCTATATCTACCTACCTACATTGGTCGAGATCCTAGTCCACATATCAAGCGCCCTGAGCATCTTAAATTAGATGGATATGTGCGCTTTATAAAACTACACTATTATTATTATTATTACTTATTAGCTTACGTTGTGGGATAATTTTTAAATAATCAAAAACTGAAACTTGTGCATAATGAGACACTCATATAAAACTACTCAGTATATCATCTGAATAATTTACATAATTGTGTGTAGAGCATAATATTCCTAAATTGGTTAAACAGTTTTATATACTTCTTTCATAAAGTCAATGTATAAAATACATATTTATGATAATGATGGAAATGAAAACTGTGGAATATAAAACAGAAAATGAATTAATGAATGCACGTAATTAGCTATGATTTGATACTCTGAAAAAAATATGTTTATGAACATACAGTGAAAAAAACATGTTATAAAAACAGTGATGTATTAAAATTATGAATGAAAAATTGTTATTACAAAAATTAAAATAATTATTAATCTATCAGTTAGTAAAATATCTCAAAAAATGTAAAATATTAGGAACAAATATTAATTTTATTAATGTCAGCACATAAATTAATGAATATATACTTCTAAACTATAAAAATAAAATATTGCATGGGAAAATATTAGATAGTCATATTTAAAGTTAAAAATATGTGTATAAATAATTATATAATATCAATATTCAATTAATATAAGTATAAACAAAAAATTGTTTTCTTTGCCACATCAACGTGAGTATTTTACCTGAGCTGCAAGTAAGACCCTCAAAGCCAGACGGACAAATGCAATTGTATCTGCCAATTTCATTTACACAGGTGGCGCCATTCGCACAAGGGTTGCTGCTGCATTCATTGATATCTTCAAATATAAACATAAATGTTAATTCTTTCTTAATAAAAAAAAAAACCCTTTACCATTCACTTATCTAGGCTAAGATTGACTCACAGTGAGGAGAATCCTAATATATGGATATTACATGTAGAAATGATTTTCTCAGTTGTGCTATCTAGAAATAGGAGTAGGAATGTTTGATACAAATCACACCAAGGATAACCCTCCATATATCCAAGATCCAAGACTTGTTTCCAGGGGGGATTCTTCCGGAGGAGAAATGGGCAGTACACCGGGAGGCAATCCCCTACACTTTTCCGAAGAGTGTACTGCATTCTATAACATGCACATGGGCCATATTGCACACAGAACCAATGGCTTAAACCTCTTATTCGAAACATCGTGTGCTATCGTAACTTGTATATCAGTCCTTCAGCTAAAACTCAAGGATGCAGATGGAATTGAACTGGAAACCAAAGAATCTCCAAGGTCTAACACACAGACAGTGGCTACCATCAGTTTGGTCAAGTTGCACCCTCTAGTAGAGTAGAATCTTGTAAAATCAGGTTAGTTATAGACCATTTTATCTGGTGTATTCTGGAATAGCGGTGCCAACATCTCGCAACTCACTGGGGGACTTCCACCGTCCTAGCCTAGCTTGAGTAGCTAGCTAATGTCAGATAGAGCGCTGTGCGCACACTGTTGACTACGTAGCACTAAGAGCGTAGGCCTCTGGAAGTCCCCCAGTGATAGTTGTCAGGTTATCGGAATTTTCAGTTCAAATTCTGTAAAAATGTTCTATAGTTGCCATTTTGCATCCCTGAGTTCTGGGGCAAGATTTATCTCTAACTAGAAATCAGCTTAAATTCGTCCATTTTTTGCTTAAGTCAAATTTATCCATATTGCTTAGCTTAAAAATTGCTTAAAATTAGAAAGTCGATTGTACGTTGGCGCTATCTAAGACGATTCTTAAGCCAAGATTTTGCTAAGATTGGGTAATAAATCAGCTTAAATATTTATTAAGGACATCTTAACTTTTTGGACTTACGACATTTGCTAAGCTGAGATTGATAAATCCCAGGCCTGGTCTTTATCGGTTCCATATAATAAATTTACTTTGGTTTGTTTAACCATGCTTGTCAAGAATAAGGTGGTTAGAAAAAATATTAATAAGATTATTAAAATCATAATAATGTATCAATCTCCCTACCAGTTTGACATCGGGATCCACTATAACCTGTGACACAGAGACAAGCAAAGCTGTTGAACCCCTCTACACAAGTGCCACCATTCTGGCATGGATCACTCGTACACTCCATCACATCTGATAAAAAAAATATGGTAAAATGTTGAACAATTAAGTCACTGCAAAGTGGAGGAAGTTGCATACACCTGAAGTTGAAATGATGTTACCATCACTAAGTAGGTACCTTACATCAATATGCTGGGCTCTGGTAGCCCCAGCTATATCTACTACTGTGCACTGCTAAATTGATTGCACTAACTCAAGTTAATAAGGAGAATTTTTTTTTTTAAGGTAAAGTTTTCAACTTATGTACCGCAGATTAAACAATATATATTTATTGTTGGTAATGCTCAAGAATATATTTTCCATTGTGCCAAGTTTACTGTTTATATGTCTATAATAGTATTCTGATATACCTTTTGCTGTCTAATGGTAAAATACAAATGACATGTACATGACATAGGGTGCTGTTGTACAATGCACCGGGATGGATGTCCCACTATCTTTTAGGGTATTGAAAAAACAATTCTAATTTGCCATCCTAAAACCATGGTCAGTAACCAAGAAATGAAAATTGACTTTTCAAAATTTTCTTACTCTCCACATTAATATAAGCTTTAAAATTATGGGCCATAATACTGGAATCGACTTATTATGTTATAAATAAGAGTATTAATGACTTCTCTGTACTGAAGTATACAATACTGCTACAATACTAATTACTCAGTTTAACATATAGCGATAGAATGCTGGTTTTGGGATGGCTGGCCTCATATCAAAAAAGGTGACATACCAAGTTCACAATTAGTCCCAGTGAATCCTACAGGGCAGGTACATTCATAGTAAGTCCGGAAACTTTCACAAACGCCTCCATTCTGACAAGGGTATGGTGTGCATGCATCACGTTCTACAAGAAAAACCAGACTATCAAACTTTTTCTGACAAAAACATG